ATGCGTAAAACAGTGAGTGAACTTAAAAACACGTTTGATCTTTTTTAGAATAATATTTTTACAGGGCAATTTTGGTAATATGTACAAGGGCGTTTCAAGAATTTTCAGGCTTTTTCCGAGGACTTTTCCTGGTGCCAACTTTAGACCAGTTTTCCGCATGTCGAAGTTGTTTGCGTCTTCTTCCAATATCATCGGAGTTTTCTTTGATATGTGATTGTGTTTTATCAAAGGAATTAGCATCAGAAGAAAACTTGTCTAGTAGGTCAGATATCGGTGCTATCGAATCCTGTAGAATAAAATGAAATCAAAATTCAAATAAAAATTTAATTAAAGTGACCGAATAAACATTCCGTGAATTTGGTTTAGAAAAAGGAACAAAAAAACGACAGATGAATTAAGCCCACAAATTGCACCAATAGAAATGTGCGCTTTAAAAAAATATATACAAGTCAGTTAAAAACCTAACCCAAGCAATACGAAGGACGTAAAACTAAAGACCAGTCATCAACATTCGGTACATGCCTAATCGGAGAGTCAAGCATTTCACAATGTCGACAAATACAATTTAATCCACTTAAAATTACAAGTGAAAAAAGTACTGTTCAAATAGTTACCCGATTGTTGACCAGGTTTAAACTCCACAAGAGAGGATCATCAGTCTCGTCAACATTTACATCTCCACTGCCAGAGGGTCCAGGAAGTTGGGCGATATCCCTCTTCGCCTCTACGTACTGATTGATAGCCCTACAAATAGCAGGCCAATTGGCATGCAAATGCTCCGGAAATTCATTGAAGCGAGCGGGCATAGTATCCAGTAAACTAGACTGGACGTTTTTTAGTTTATTGGAATCTGTCAGCTGTCTTCTCTGAACCTTCGTAAGAAATGTTCGGCGGAGGGGTAACGAAATGTTGGACCTCGTATAAAGCGGTACACCTGGGTACAGATCTTCTGCATTGGCGACAAATCGGAAAGCACTCTTGACGCATAATTGACGAAAAATATAGTAGGCATCCCAGTGATTCTGCTTCGATAAGTCAGAGGAGAACATAGAAAGAGCATTCCAAGCATCCAATGTTACGTTGACCCTTGCCTACAAATGAGACAACTACATATTGCTAACTAGCCCATTTTCAATATTCTGACTGAAGAAAGCGAAGCAAATACCTGTTTGACAATGGGTTGCTTTCCAAAAAAAGCGTATATTAAAAAAAGTGAGCCAATTTTAATAAGACTGGAAACTTCAGAAGAAATGTTTCGGATAAGAAAGAAAAAGATGCCTTCCAAAACATCCTTCAGACCTGCTTGAGTCTGGCGGCCATACATTAAATGAATAAATTTATTTTTTTTCCATAATTCTGCAAAGTCCGAAAATCTCGGACTCCCGATTTCCACAAATTCATCCAGAAATGATTTCAAATCTTCTTCCAATCCAATGATAGGAGAATTAATAGTGTATAAACAGTAATCTTTGTTTAACATCTAGAACGGGGCAACACCAAGACACACAAATTTAAATAAGCAAACTCCCGTAATGACATTCCCGCCAAGATATATAGCCAATAAAAATTAGGAGTTTTGGAAAATACATACTTAATGCAGTCTGAATTTCGACATACGAACTTACACCTAGACCCCGCATTTTCGATACGATTTGAGAATAACTTTAAAAAAATCGTACAAATAACGCCGAGGAATGAGCCATAAAAATCGTGTTTATCCAAATAAAGCAGTAATGTATTTACGTAACACATCATTTGAAAAGAAAAAGGTATATTCTTAAAAAAACTGTGTCGTGAATCAGTAAAATGCCAAATAATTTGAGAGACAACAGATAAAATGAAAGGCACCTTAAGGACCTATAAACGTCCATATTCACCAAAAATTGTCATCTGAAGACTTTTTGGTGTTTTAGTGATTATCGAAGCGCAAAACATCGTTTAAAGAATGACGCCGAATACTGAAATATGCCATAGAAGTGGAAAGAGAAACGACAAGAGTTTTTGAATGAGTGACCATTAAATTTAAACAAATTGTTAGAAATTGGTTCCATTGATCAAAATATGAAGAGGCAGGAAAAGTGCGTCGCGAGTAAAAATTCTCGGGAAAAGTTCACTCTACTAGAAACGACCTCAAGGACATTGTATTTTCATACCAAGCACGTTGAGAAATTGTGATGTTTAAAGATTGCGTCCCATTGAAGTTTTCCAACACATTGGGACTACAACAAATATAACTGTATTTGGCTGTCCTTTTTGACGTGACTGCTAGAGCGCTAACAAATAATTACGCTTGCAGCATACGACCTAAGTAACATTATTTTTTTTATTGTTGTTTTAAAAACATATTTTATGTAAATACTACCTTCAAGTCACTCCACTGAACAAAAAATGTTAATAAATACCAAAAGATATTATTTTATTCAGCGCTTGTAAAATAGGATAAGTATTTTAGATCATTTAAAATGCTAAATATGAGGAAACGAATTTGGCAAAATAGGTTATTCAGTGTTGCGGGCAATTTAATGGCGTGTTTTGATGTGTGTTCGTCTTTTGATTAACCACTTAAATGTCGGTCCGTTGTTTAATCAGCGAACAAAAACTAGACTACATCCGTGAAATTGTAAATCAAAGGGATCCGAAGGAGGATTATAAACTCATTCGAAGTATCGGTGTTGGCACGTACGGGGAGGTTTACAAGGTTTTGCATTTTTCTTTGTAATATCGAGGTTTTCAGGCTCTACGATTAAATACAAAAAATTATGCTGCTGTAAAAATAATAAAAGTTGATGCAAAAGATGACATTAAGGCTGTCCTGCAAGAAATTCAAACTCTTAGAGATTGCCGCCATAGTAATATTGTGGAATTCTACGACAGCTACTTTCGGTTGGATCGTTTGAAAATAATTATTTAATTTGTAGACATAATAAGCTCTGGATATGTATGGAATTCTGTGGTGGCTACTCAATGCAGGACATATACACAAGTGAGTACTTGATTATTTTTTAACATTAAAATAGATACTCGTAAGCCTGTGGATGAGGATTGCATTGCCTTTATTTCGCGGGAAACTCTTAGAGGCATTGCTTATATGCATAGCCAAGGGAAGATTCATCGAGATATTAAGGTACGGCTTGTTCTGTTGTGTGCGTTAGTAATTCTTGATACGTACCATGCATCCAGTTGCAATCTTGCCAGCCGGTGTTTTATATCCTAATGTCGTCTCTTTACTCGTAATTTCAAAATATTTATTATGGCTAGTACTCTTCATTACAGATTTTCTTATGATGTCAATAACCCCCATGATTCTTATCAGCTTACTCTAGATAGCTTCTGGAGAATGAAAAACTGCATAGTATCGCGGAGGCCTACCAGCTTTTCGATCATTTCATGGCCTTTCTCGCACAAGTTTTTTTTGTTTTAGGGAGCGAACATTTTGTTATGTAACGATGGGGCCGTCAAAATTGGTACGTATTTATGATGTCGCGTTTCGGATGAAGCCATGAACGTCTAGAATAACTTTCTTTGACACCATTCTTGTTTTGTTTATATGTTGCGATAGGTAACCTTACGAAGCCTGGTTTCCATTATTTTTACCTTGCATTAAGCATTTTCAGACTTGTCTACCATCAGTGATTCCACCACAATTATTTCTCGTCACGCATGAAAAAGTTAGAAAATAACCCCTTCCACAACACCAGTGGAGCATTACATGCACGAATGTGGTTTTCTTTCGCACTTAAGATTCTGAAATACATCAGCGTTGCTAAAAAGATGCCTTCGTCACTTTAGACTTAGAGATCATGGGCTTATTGATCTGGAACCCAACAGTTAAGCTGTAGTCTAACATCTTTTCAACCATTATTATGTTATCAGTCCCCAAACACATTCTTCCTTAACTCGCTTTGCCGATTACAGTTGCCCTTCTGTTTTCGTTGTTGCATATTCACCATGTTATTTTTTTTATCACAAAGGTTATTTTACTCTTCTTTTCACACAAAAATAGACCAAATATAGTGCGGCGTTTTTAGCTTCATCACACCAAGCACTTAAAATAACAGGACACATAAAATTTTGCTTACGTGACCGATTTTGTCTCTTCTATAATATACTTATATGCATAATGGTAGCTAGATGTGTAGTCATTTGGCAAATCCTATGGAGGCAGCAAGTTTGCGAACTTCATCTGCTTTGGCTACGTATTGCTACTTCATTTCACGGTGGTCCATTGTCGTTGCTTTAACACTGACATTTTGTCTCTTGCTGCAATATGTATTTTAAAACCGTTAACATTGCCAGGGCAATCGTTGGATTTACTGGACGTCTTTGACTAGCGTCAAAAATCAGTTTTCTTTTTTCATTAAATAATTCAAATGTCAGGTCTTCGCGCTTCATGGTCTAGTATTTGCTTACTTCGTATGCGTTCACAAATTACGTTCCCGTAGTTGCCGTTTCAATAGATTACGTCTTCGTGGCCATGTACACGCCCCATAGTCATGTTGTATACTTTGGATATTATGCGCCGTTGCCATCAGCTGTTCGCGTGCGCACGTGCACCTACGAACGTAATGAGATACCACTTTACCGCTAACATTAGCACATTGCACTGTTTGCGCACGAGACACCGACAGCACTTGGACAGGCTCCCTTTGTATGCTTGGTTCAATCTCACACATCCTTTCTTAAAAACAGATGACTTGGTGTATCGAATAAATTTATCATCTGTTCGTATTTTGTAAATTTATTTAAATCAACATCTCTAGAATCTTAACTCTTGACTATTTTGATTTATTTGTTTGATCATATTATTCCAGTATACTTTCCGACCTGTGGGCTTATTTGTTTTAGCGGATTTCGGCGTAGCTGCTCAGATTACTCACACAATACAACGCCGCAATTCCCTCATTGGAACCCCATACTGGTTAGTAATGTACCTTCAGTGCTCCTTTTAGTTTTTAAATTGATCTAACTTGACTTAAGGTTATAGGCACCACGCTCCCTTGGCTCCCGTGCCTGGCATTTGTCACCAATTTTAAATGTGCTTTGTACACAGCAATAAGTGTTTAGGCATAAAATCCCCACCGTCCTGTCCCTTAGCAAACAAACTTCAAGTTTTGTAGCAGCTGAAACCTCTAACCGCTTTTCGGTGGCCTCTCCGGATTGTGTCTGTTTGTTAATAGGCCAGCGAGTTTTGCCCCTATCGATTTCGAAAGTGTCACTAATCCATTTTCAAGCAGTTGAACTTTGATATCTACATAAGTAAAACGAAGATAATTGCCCCAAGTTTCAACAAAGTGAATCCATTTTTTGAAGCAAATATGTTCCACAAACTTTTGATAATTGTTTGAGCGTGTAAGTCTATAGGTAAATTGAAAAATATACTTCGTAGCTCTAGTTTTCCAAGTTGCGTTAGCTTAAAATGCACATTATGCGGGTAAATGCACTGTGTCTGGACTAAAAAAGTTAAGTATATTTATTTGTAATGGATTGGCATGGAAGTAAATCCAGTTTTGTAGTGCGGAGTAGATCTCAGTTTTGTATGCAGAGAACGAAATTTAATCAGTTCTGTCATTTCCGTCTCGTTCGATGAAAGTTTGGCGGCGTTCTGCACCCATAAAACTTCCGTCCCCTGTCAAAAAAATAAACTGAATTTAGTGAGATTTAAGGTATTTAGCTGTAGTTAAGGTTCTACGATTCAAAGAGTTTGCAAACTTCGATGCGACAGTGCTTCAAGACAAGCTCCAATACTTTTCCGTTTGTCCCCAAGTACAGGTGCTTGTGACCATGCATTACCATAAAGGTACAGGCTTCCCTTGCAGCTTACTAATTCTGGCCGACTTTTTCGGCCTCTTCTCGATCTGATTTCATTAATTGCAGACAGTGCACAATCGTCTGTCGCATTAAGCTGACAGCGTGATCCTCCTGGTGTAATTCAACCTGCGCTGGTTCATAACGCCTAGGCCATGCTCGTTTTAGATTGACTTTGTTGTGGACTAGCACATTTACCCTGTCCCGTTCACCAATTAACGCCATAAACGTCACCCGTCTTTTCGTGGTGCTCGGAATCTTTCCTGCTTTCACGATTACGAAAGTAAATGCTCGTGTGGAACTTCAAGTTGAATTTGACCTTAAGCAAACACCTGCAAACGGAAGTACTCGCACTTTGCTTCTAAGGTAAACCAAAATGACATCCTTCAAGTGTCAGAAGAAAAAAAGTCGTAACATCAACAAAGGCTCTTCAAGACACACGACCGGAAGTAATTTTTTGCAAGCCATTTTAGTTCATAATTTCGCCTAGTGGGATCCGGGCACAATATATTGGTTATAAAGCCGTTACAACTACTGTACGGGGTCATCGGAGTTAGGACTTTTTTTGGTATTCTTAATCGTTCTAGAGTCAGGCGTGACGTCGTTTTCCAGAGTTAGGTGATTTGACAGTGGAATATTTGTGTTTTAAAATTGTCTGGGCTTTCATCACGCCCCCAGTCTGTTTGAGACCTAAGAGCTGCACCCAAGCGACACGCAGTCGTTGAGGCCTTTTCTTTAGTGCGTCACTCGTAGGATATGTTGGAACTTGGCGCGCACACCAATTTCAACGTTGATTTCATTTGTTATCTACTAACTCTGACAAGCATTGCATTCTTACATGCATGAGATTAAGATAAAATAATTTTAAGAACTACCAATCTCGAGATTTTTTTGTATATAAGTGTGCATTTTCCCACTGGCCGTAATTTATAGATTATTGACTGCCATCGTTAATTCCAATTTCCCTATTCTACGTCTGATTATAGAAATTAGTTTTCGTAATCTCTGTAGCCTTGTTTATATAACAAGCACGACTAGAGATATGGCCCCTGACCGACACTAACCACTGCATAAAAAGCACTGCGCTCGAGTTGAGTCCGTCGCCGGTAAGCTTGGCCGGACGTTTTCGTCCCAGGTCCGCCCACAATTTGAAAATTTTTAACCTGTCTTTATCAAGCTACTTCTTTTCTTAAAAGATGCTTCCCTTATGTACTGACATTTTGGAAAAATCTTGTCTTCGTGCGTTCATTTATAAGCACTGCTTGTCGCAGAACCATGTACTCTGTTCCCTTTTGCGTCACTAGGATGGCCCCGGAAGTTGTGGCTGTTGAACGCAAAGGTGGGTACGATGAAAAGTGTGATATTTGGGCGGTGGGAATTACTGCCATCGAATACGCCGAACTACAGCCTCCGATGTTTGATCTGAACCCGCTTAAGTATGTCTTCCTACCCTAAATGCCTTTTTTTACTTATAAACTCTCCCTTTGTGCTTCTAAAATCCCTTTCGCTTTGGTTAGGGCACTTCGTATCCTAAGTATGAAAAATTACAAGCCACCAACTTTGCGGAATAAGTCGAAGTGGTGAGTTTCTGCATTGGTAGAAGTGCGTGTAAGTGGTGGATACAATTCCCGTTAAAAAGGTTATTTCAACTTTAGGTCAAACAAATTTCATGGATTTTTGAAATATGCCTTGACCAAAAATGAGAAAAAACGACCAACGGCTTCACTGTTGTTAACTGTAAGTACCAGTTCTACCTTACCGAGAATAAGGTCTTATTATTTTGTTTTATTTGTAGACGATCAAATTTTGTTAGTTTAGGCTTTGAAATTTTTTAAGGTTTAAAAAATGCCATCAGCTGAGTGCAGACGCACCGACCATAGGTCGTTGGTTTATTCAATGCATCGTCGGGTCTGGCTACTGCATAGGTCAATTCCATAGCTGCGAATGGCGGTGGTTATATCCTCGAGGGACTGTTTATGTAACAAAGAACGAAGTTGCTATGTGTGGGTGTGTATAGTTTGTCTGGAGGACATGATCGAAAGCAGTTTACCTGTGTTGTGCTGGGATGTCTCACAGCCAATTTTGTCTTTTGTACTGTGCCTATTTTGTGTAGAGTAGTTTCACAAGTATAAGGGCTTGAGATTGTTGGACGTTATTTTAGCGTGGCCACTCAACGCTTGCCAATACGGCGTGTTTTAGTGACATTGACTTCATTTGTGTGGGTAAATTATATCTATTCCTATTACTCCTTTCACATTGTAACATGTTTTTCTGTTGTACATTAAGTGGTGAATTCGATTTCTTCATAGAGTTCTCTTTTTCTCTACCTGTCATTTGCATAATTACGCCAAAATTGCGTCGAAGTTTATGCATCATTTAATCACATTCTGAAGGGAATCGGTGCGAACCCATTCAACTTGCGCATCTCTCAACGTACTTGACTTACTGTTTATTACATAAGGCAGAATCGGCGCTTCCACGTTTCATATTTAGCCCTTGTCACTAGTGTGCTTCTAAATGTCTAGTGGTCGCCTCAAGCCTATCATGCGACGCAATTAACAAACGCACGGGTGTGCACGTTGCTTGAAGGCGTCTGTATTTTCAATTAGTGGAGTTTCGCCAGCATTGAACATGATGTGTGTGTGCGTCATTTATTTTCTGAGCGAACTAAACCGGGAGTTGAAGGTGTATCCTTTGGGTATTTCATAGCTGAATTTACTACACCGCTTAACGAGCACCTCTTCATAGAAGTTCCACATTAAGGTTATAGAGTTTGGAGAAAAAGAAGACGTCTAACTTGACAACGCTCTTGTTCTGGTCATTTGAAATCTACGGTACCCTTTGCATAGTCGTCATCCGTTGCTTCTCTTATCCACTAGCAAATCATCTGGGTCATAATGAAAATTGAAGGCAGTCATTTGATGATTCATTTCATGTCGAAATTTCTCTCGGTTGGGTACTATTTTGGCGTTGTGTTTACAAAAATGCCTTGCCTTTTTTGCCTAACTGAAATCCAAACACCCTGTTCACTTTCTCTGTGCGAAATTTATTGCAAGGCTTAAATACGGTTTTCTTGGTGAGTGGATTGTTTTGGTCCTACCACTTACCAAATTCTACCAGCACTTATCTGACCTTTCGGAGATTAGACTATTAGCTACGCATTGCTTTTTTTCTGAAGAAATTTGCGTTTAAGATGCCGAAATGGTTTGGGATGTACTAGGTTCCTCTCCAAATTTGTGCTTCTTCGCGCTGGAGTGAATGGCAGTTAGTGCTTGTACGACACCGTTGCGAACTCATCCCTTAAGTAGTTGGATCATGTTGCGCTCCATGATGACAATGTGCTAAGGAGACCTCAACGAAAGGTGATTCGGCAAATTAGAACTGCGTATTTTTTTGTACCAGTAAATTTGTCTGTAGTTTTCCACTCTGCTGATTCGCATCTTTATTGGTGGGTTTAACTTGTTGTACCTTGACTTGCCCGAGTGCAATTCAGTGTCTTTTTTTACTTCACCCAGCACGAATTCGTGACCCAGCCACAGTTATCGCAGAGTCTGACCCTACGACTTCTCCAGCAGAACCGGAACCCAGAGCCGATTGATTTCGGGCAGCCGCAGGCGGCTGCAGCCCCGGTGGCGGCGGCTGCGGCCGGTGGTCCGTGCATTCGCCCGCAGCCCGCCAACCAGGCGGCGACACCCGTCCCGCACCCGCGGGCTCTGCCGTCGGCGTGCGGGGTCGCAGCGAAGCGGCCCTTGCCGGCCAATGCTCCCACAACAAACGGCTCATCTGCTAAGGGCCACCTTCCCTCAAAGGCGCCTTATGTACTTCCTGAGGGCGTTGATATAAAGGCAAGTTACTATGTTGTTTTTCTCACCACCCTTTCCTTCCTACTATCACCATATTGCGAGGTGGTTGTTGTAAAGTCAGTCCTATGGGGCTCACTCATTTATGCCATTGCGGATTACCACGCAATAGGTTTGCCATGTCTTGACATGAAATCCGCTAATCGTCGTGTTTTTGTTGCAAGGCGGCGGGCCCATTGACTTTTAAGAGTTGCCGTTTATTCGGTGGCAGTTAATGGCCTCAGAAAGTCGTGGCATCCAATTACAGAACTTGCATGTACCTTCCTTAGGGCAATAAAAGCTCAAAGTGAGCTCCCTTTCCCACACCCAATGTCACACAAGTAGGTTACGTGTGTTATAGGCATAGAACGCTGGTTTATGGCACAAAACGTTATTTTACCGAATCAACTGCCTCCCGTTCTAACGCAGGGGTCCTGTTTGTTGTGGTTAACGTCCTTGTCGACACCCAGATATAGAGATATTGCATGTATCGATTCTTTATTCGCCATTTTTGTTATAGTCTTAGTCGTTCAAACTCCTACTGAATGCTGTGAATGAAATTCAAGTAATGCTACTTAGTACTATTGTAAGTGAGTGTGTCAAATTTGTTAAATACGCTTGAAAGTTGCCAGTCCGAGTGATATTCATAAGGTGCTGCCTCCGACATGAGTCGTAGTTAGGAATTTGTTACTCTGTTTTAGGGTTAACTACGTTATGACCACTGACGTCTTTAGTTTTTGTAGCTTCATTCAATCATTTTTTAAATTCTACACAATTACGGGGTCTTAAATTGGATGATTTTTTCGGAATAAATGTGGAAACGAAAGTCGCTTAATCGATATTTTTATTCGATCTTTATAGCTCTCTATCTCTCAATCCTTGGGAGGAGTCTGCTTCATAATTTTATATCTATACCCCGTGATTATAACCGTAGCTTTCAGCGTTCTGATTATTGCTATAATTCCGCCTCAATTTAGAGGCATTGGTGTTATTTTATCACTTGATTGACTTCAAAACCGCCTCTCAAATGATATAAAAGACATTGTCTATGTCGGAAGTAATTTTAAATGGTCACCAGACTTGTACATTCATGTGAATATAAACTACGTCTTCTTGGCTGTATCCTCTTCTTTAAATTCCTTTGCACTGTCTACACCTACAATTGCTCCAGTAGAATTGCATGCTTTTTTGAAGCCAGCATCAACCAGACAATAAACGAAGCGTGAAATTTTAATTAGTTTGGAACCCACTCGTCTTTCGTCAGACATTCTCTTATTGCCTTGGGTTTGGCTTCGCGGACATAGCTTTTACCGATAGCGTAGCATGTCTTATTTCAGCGAAATTTCTCTTCTCCCCTGTTGTACACTAAAGTACATCGTTCCCATTGGCGCGTTTTCATCATTTGTCCCATATTTTCAGCCTCCAGCAACTCGTTTTCCATTCTCCTCTGCCGGAATGGAAGCTGCGAGCAAATACGTAGCTACCCATAAAGAGGAAGTGGGTGTCGTGACTTCACCTAAACCAAAAACGCCTCCAACATCGGTGCCTGCTGCTACCAATGGAGTCCCTGAGCGCATTCTCCCGACTCCTGCTGGCAATATTTACCCCCGCTTTCCAGTGCGGGGAAAGCGACTCGAGGACGTGCGCATTATGGACGAATTGGCAGCTCCACTGCCCGCTTACGCAGCTAATACGCCAACAGCGAGCCCCGCCCCGAAACCCGCAACACCGGTTCCCTCGCCCACCGCTTCTGCCGCGTCCTTTTCCTCCGCCTCTACATCGCCCTGTAGCACCATCTCGACAACGTCCTCATCGGGCTCCCGGTCTGGCTCCTCCGAAGGTGCTTCCTCCTCGAGTGACGAGCAGGTTGATGAGGAAGAGGAAGATGGAGACGCGGAAGGTGGTTCATCCGATGGTGACGCCTCTGAAAAAGAGGGTGAACCGAGCACCCTCGGCCCCTCAGAGGGTCTGATTGCGGTGCCTCTTGATGACACAACTCCCGCGCAGCCGAGTCGCTCTGTAAGTACCCAATTAGTTTAATGCCTCTTTACGTGCCTGTCTTTAGGTGCTCGAAATAGCCGGATTATCCGAGTTATATTTACCAAAATTTACTTGCACGGTGGATCTGTTTTCACAGCACGACGAAAGTAATTTTTCAGAACGAATTGCATTTGACTTTTGGAGTTCGTAAAATGAAAAGGTGGTTATTATCCGAGTATGCATTACCCTTTCATATTGGGCGTCTCATTTCACCTATTCACATACGTAGTTGCAGTCTACGGTGGGGCCGTCGTCACATGACAGCAATTCGTTACTGTTAAATGTGCGTGTCCAATATGGAAATTCCTCCTCACACGACGTGCACTTTGGCGTGCGTCCCTTTGCAACTTAAAAACATGTTGACGTTTTCTACGTGTTTCATGCGTTCTTTTGGGTTCCCAGCTTCGCGTATCTGGTGAAACTTGCAATCAGTTGACATTATAGACTCTTAGCTAGGTCCACCTTCCAGGCCAATTCATAGGACGTAATTGCAAATATCTAGGCGATTGCTGTGCCCTGTACCGGTTCTCCATGTAATGGAAGCTCTAAGACAACCACGGGCACCCCCGAGAAAACGAAAACGATGGAGGAAGAAGAAGAAGGGGAGGAAGCGGGGGAGGGAGAGGAGCGAACGCGAACTCTGACGACGTCGGATTTCGCAGCTGCAGACTTGGACCTCGACGTTGCCGATGAGCAGCTACTGGCGGCCGACGGTGTGCTGACACTGGGCAAATGCTCATCCAAAAGAACGGTGAATGCCTAAATGTTTGCCTGGCTTGCGCACACGCCTGTTTTTCTTACGCCTTGCCCATGCATGTGATGTGCTTCGCTTTGTGTTACCCCACTCACTCGCCTAGAAACACGCGGACTATTGATAATCCGTCGGTTGCCTGTTGTCGCCAGGTTCACTTAACTTATTTTTCGCAGACTTAATTGGTACAGCTGCGTGTGAACCCTGGCACAGTAGAGGTCGCCTTCATTTCGTCACGAGGAGTCAGTTTTTGAGATCGCGTGTTAACTTGTCAACATCGACCAATTGAGTTGACAAATTGACCAAAACATTTAACTGTTGCTCTCCCGGTTACCAATCCAGGTTTCATGTCGCTCATGTTTACCCGCTCTCCCACTGTTTACCCGATCGCCCCAATGGCAGCTGGCTGAGCCCATATGATTGTTTAAATTCTGATTCCTAGACTTGCTGTGACGTTGCTCAACATTTTAACCAAACGTTTTCGTCGTTCTTTAACTCTGCATAGCATTGGTTAGTGTTTTTCAAATTAAATGGTTCAAGGAATTGTGCTTGTTTGTTACAAATTATTGTCTGCGGTGGTTCGATAAATCGTCAAATATTCGATTTAACCCCTAAATTACTCCAACCACTGGTCCGATAAGGTTTCAAATATTGTGTTGTTTGGTACTAGTCTTGCCGGTTTTGTCAAAGCAAACAAGTACCCAGCACCACAGAAGCTAACAGGGCTATTCAGTCATAGGTTTGTGCAACTGAGATTTCATTTGTGCTTTTGTCGTGACCGGCTAACTAAAACAGCAACTTTTCATGGCCTCTTTAATGAGTGGTAAATTGCGTCACAATTTCGACGGTCTCTTGAAGTGCTAAAGCATTCCAAATAATTGCTTGCCGGTGGTAGAGGCTCTGCATGTTTATCGTTATACGTTGGCATACCCCTATTGCACACTTCGTTTTTTTTTGACTGTTGCAATGGCTTTTTGGTGGTGTTTTGAGCTTCCGGTCAGGCTTACATAATCGATCAATCTTGTGTTTCATCTGATAGGACTCAACGGGTGGAGGGGATAGAATCAGCGAATTCGGTTTCCGAATGCATGGTAACCCATCGGAGGAGGAGGAAGAAGATGAAGAGGAGCCTGATTTCGATGACATCGATCCAGAGGCCGGGTAAATTTGGCTTTCCTCATCGTGTTTGTGCATCTTCATGGCCACGTGCATGCCTGTTTTGTGCTTCCCCCACCATCTATTGGAGATCCGTTCGCCTCAGGTTCCCAGAATAGTACACGCTTTATCTTTAACCTCTTGGTCACTACATTAGGATTCTTCAAACCAATCATCCTTATTTCCCAGCAGGACTAACTGGTGAACTAACTCGCTTTAATCTTATAAGCTTTGTACTTAACTAGACATTGCTCGGTTTCCATTTTTGCTTAGTATTCGACCATATTTTTATTTAAATTACCTCCCGATTGCCACTCCATATGATCCTGTATTGCCATTGCTTCGATTTCTTTATCGTTGTGTTCTAACCACTGCCCATTCTTTCGCACACGTTTGGTTTCGCTCACATCAGGTGCCAACCTACCACAGATTCTCACTTGGCGATCTTGTGTAATTTGTAATTTGTTCTCTCTCTCTCTCTCCCCGTAATCACAAAATCAGGTTGAGAAATACTTGTCTGATGTTCCCAATCTTGTGAATGACTTGCATGCTTATCGGTAAACGAAAATGTTCTTACTATGTAAACCCTAATGGCGTATGCGGAAAAAGACTTGCTCCTGTGCCGTCACAGTTTGGCGTGCATATTTGTAACATTTTGAAGCAGGACCCGATCCTGCCAACAAAACTTCTGCCACTAATTTCAGAAATGGCGAACGCCCAATCAGCTGCTCATCCGGACGAGCACGACCGCACCCCGTGTTTGGATGTGAGGGTCTTGGCCGAAGTCCAAGCATGCGTACGCGTTTGTGTGCGATTATGAGAAAGTGAACAACTCGTCTTTGTGTCACATTTCCCATTTCAGCCGTCTTACGGTCACCCCAAATCTTGTTTTTGTAAGATTCCTCTCTTGTTGCTAGTCTTCTGTGTGTTTGGACTTCATGACTTCTCGATCACCGCTTTACCATTCTGGAGCTGTGAGTCATACGGTCTTTGTTTTTTGTGGTCACCCCTGCGCGTGTCCGTTCTACCCAGTTATGCACGATGACAAGGAGTGTGTGTGAATTTGGTGCGTAGGTAATGTACCGCGGCATGCATTTATCTGATTTTACATTAGTAGCAGGGTTCCGTTGCGTTGAACCTACTCTTTTCAATCGCATCAATCAAGTACTGATCATTCACTCAGTGTCTACAGCTCCGAGTTTCGATTGATACCTCGTTAATCGTGAATTTTGTGGCCAGGGTCCACTGAAGATCTGAATTCTTCGTTGACATGATTCTTAGTTTCTGCGTTCGCTTCAGTCTGTCTTGCGTACGACGCTTGTTACTGCAAATTGTAGTATCCAGGATGATTACTCAAACACCATTTAAGCAGTGGAGTTTCGGTTTAAGGAATTCTTTTAAAACCCTGTCTTTCTGTTTGCCGAGAAATTCTTATCGTTGTTGTAATTAAAATGGAACTCAAGTGGCGTCATATCTTCGCCTTTGGATTTACTGATTCGCTTTAATCCACGTCAAAGCACTTGGCAAATCTGTTGCGGCTACCCTTTTCCGTCTAGTGTCTTACAATATTTCGTTAGTTTGGAATAATTAAAACTTGCGATTCCTCTTCTCATCGTTATTTGCAGAGTTTGTTATGTAGTATTTTTTTCGCTGCAAACACCAAATATTTTTTCGTATCTACCATGCCCTAAAATTTGCCAACTTGTGGCACCTATCACTTCCCGGTTCACTTGAGGAAGTCTGGATAGGCTAGTGGGTCTATTTTTCTTCTATAATCAGTCTATACCGAAACTCTTCTTGACTTTTTATCTCTACCTTGTGACTGAGACCTGTGTAGGTCAGTTTCTGCATATCAATCACAACAAACTAGCATACTTTCATTTTGCGTTTGTCGAAATCGACATTGTAATTTTCGCTACACCTTAACCCTGTCTATTTCTGTCTGAGGACTAAAAAATTTTTTCAGCTGCGTACGTGCAGAGTCTATGGCCTTTTATAAGCAGGCTTCGGAAGTTGCAACGAAGCAAATCAACCATGCTCAACCTCGATCTAGAATCGTCTTTTATTTGGCTCATTTTTTGGAACCTCCTTCCTACCTTCAGGTTAAAAAATGCCTTGCATTTCCCATAAATTGCTCTCTTAATCCCCAAGTACCCAATCTGCTCTTCGTATCCGTGAATTCTCTTGACTTAACTTTATGATTTTCTATTAATTTGAAGTGGATGCACTTCCGTCATCAAAAGTACATTACTGAAAACTCCAAATGTTGATTTATTCTGTCTCCTAATTCCATAGTTTGTTTTGCCAGTTCCTGTTGTATGCAACTCAACGGTAGCACATTGCTGTCAAACCTCACGTCTTTTTAAGTATTTCTTAATGTGCTTCTTCGTGTCTTTTCTTATGCACAAATCTTGATTCCATGCAAATTTTCTCCGGTCTTTGCGTATCCCCTACGTCTCTTGATCGGAGTAATGGGAAGTATTCAATGAAACCTGACTTCGTACTTGCTGATGTCGCGGCCCCACATACAAGAGTACCACCGACATGGACCATGGGGGTTTCATCAAAAATCGCTTTCAAAAGACTGTCTCGAATGCGATGACAAGTCTAGTATTATCTGCACGTAATTTATCTGAACCTATTTAGACTGTGGGCCCAAAGCCCCTGTTAGGCTCACATTGCCCCCTTTGTAGCCACGGGGTTCCGTACAGTGCTGGCGCTAGATTATTCTTTGTAGGTGGAATGTTTCCACGCAGCTATTTGTGTAGATTCTCCCGTCCTGTACCCCCATATCACGGGATGGGAATATGCTGTTTCCACGAGTGCAAACATATTAACGCTATTGATTTTACATTCTTTTGCACTGATACAACGGTAATGTTGATTTTATAGTTTACGTGTTTTTTTTTCACTATTTTACACAATGCATTGTATTTTTTGTTCCCCTTAGTTGCTATGACCGTAATACTGCTTGGAGTTTTAAACATCGACGGTCGTATTGCTGTTTCCCTCTACTTACCTCTTTACGTACCCCAGATAACCTCCAGATTGAAGTATTTTATAGCGAACTGATTTGTCTCAATGCTGTACCTCTTTAAAAATTCACTGTTTCTACAAACATAGCTGTTCTCGGCTTGCTCCATTTTTTATACTAAATCTCTCTATTTTCCAGACTGTTTACTCCTCCTGTATAGTCGTCTCATGTTACGTTTCTGTAGGTATGGGTTTTATCCAACTTCTATGGCAGCTTTGTTTTAGGGAGCTGAGGGACTTTCAAATACGTCTATGCGAGTTTCTGAGCACGCCCTGCATCACAGAAAAAAGTCCTTTACATGCTTTTATTTAGTTTCTTGGGTTTGATGGCAGAAGGAAGATGTGGAAGTGGTAGTCATGGTGACCACTTTCTATCTTCATCCGTTCCGCACAGGTCAAATATTATGCAACTGAATCCAATTATATTGTGCAACATGTTCGTGATTATTGAACTGAATGTACGCTTTTTTTGTTAGTAATGGCTGATTTTGACGCGTTGTTTATTTAGATTTATATCACATCCGGATGTGCTGAAGGCGGCTAGGGGTGAAGCCGCTGTGGCCGAGTCTCCTGGAGCAGATTCGAGTGGGTGCGCTAAGAACGATGTCGAGCAGCTCCAGCGTCGCAGACCGCGCCGTGGCAAGTCCGACCCCAAGTCGCAGCCACGGCGCAGGCCTCCGCGTCGCCAGTCCTCGGAATTAACTGAACCCGGCGACAGCAACGCCGGCAGTGTCGCTTCGCAGGGACCTTCTGTTGGGGCGACGAACGCCGTATCCAAAGACTCCTCCTCAAGTAATGACTTCTTTCCCGAAAAGACCGGAGCGTAAGTTCGCTGGCTCTTTTATCCTGTGCTTAACACATGCGTAGACACATTTTCACAATAAAAAAATTAGTGCTTTCAATTTTTGATGAATGCGATGAATTAAATGTATTCACTCATGATTGATGACACGTCTTCTGTATGAAGTCTCCCAGCTGTAATTATCTTATTACATTTGTCGTCTCTAAACTACACTGATTAATGGGCCATCTCAATCGAATTCAATGCCATCTGCACAGACTGCAGTTTGCCTACATTATTACTCATCACAGTTGTCATGCTTTGTGCTGACTAACGCTTGGTGTGAAGAGATAGCACTTTGCATTCTCGTGTTGTAATATTGCAATCACTGCAGCAGCCCCTAGACGCAGAATTGTTCATCCTGTTTACCGACTGTGTTGATTTCATCATCTGTTCACTTGTGTCTGACTGTCAAAGAATCCCAAATGCCCCACTTGGCAGTTTCTGGTACCAGACTAATTTAGCATTCTCACCGGGCCTAAATTGCCATTAATTATCATTCCTGGAGTTCGGACCGGTTATGGTGCTACGGAGTTCGACTTTTGTCTCCGGTGCTCAAGAAAGATGTACAATAATTCGTTGATTTTCATCATCCAATTTGATTTCTGTGTTAATGCGCAGTGAACAAAATTCCTGTGTTACTTAATTTAATTTACCTTATTATACATCGGCCAATCACAGCCCCGTATTTATGGCATACTTCTTGCGATCAAGCCTATTTTGGTTTTTGAGTTAGTTTCCAATTTGTGTTTCGGCTTACCTCTAATGTTGGTGCTAGCACGACTACTCGGCTATAACAGATCGTCTGTTGGTGGCGCATTTAAAAAGGTTTCCATACTGGTAGCTTTTCCCGATTTGCCGTCCTTGCACTAATCGGCATATTACGCAGTTCGAACACCAGGTGTACTAGGTGTTGTGATCAAGGTGATCGACTGTCCTTTTAATCAGCAATTTACGTCCTTGTACCTTCCCACGCACCCTGCTTTTTGTTTTAGAGAGCTGGCGGATATGCTTAGGCAACTGAAGTTTGCGCAAAAATTCGCTTGGCTTGCTGGGTAAGCTCACGTTTAACCTTAATCTTTAGCATATAGATGATATGAACGCTTTCTCATCCCGTTGACTTCACTGTGGTTGTTTTGATTAGTGAGCCATCAGCAGCACCCCTTGGCCTTTCATCCTTTAATCCGGGCTCTGTTCCTGCCCTTCATCATGCAACGAGTTCCCCGGACGCCACCCACTTCTTCCCCACCGGTAAAGCAGGCGGTGACGGTCCCCAGGCGCCTCCAGCCTCGCTCACTCCCAAGGCGCCAGTGAACACCGAGAGCAGTGCCGCACTGCGCCCCAAAACGTCGGCACCAGAAATGTCCTTGACAAGACTCTCCTCGTCGCCTTTCAACGCCTCCCCTCCCGTCGCCTACTCACCTTTTGCCCTCTCCAGTGGAGTACAGTCGGTTATAAGCCTTGCCGAGACGCCCACCAACGAACAGCGCACGCCACTGACCACTGCGAGCGGCGATTCCACAAGCACCACCCCAACACCTAATGGTAATTCTTCGTAACATGCCTGAGAAAAGCGCGGTGACGCTAAACGTAACTGTCATTTCGACCACCTTAGGATATTTTATTTGCGTCTAGTCCACGTTTCTACTTCATATTTCACCCATCGCCTTACAGGAAATTTATTCCTCACGTTGCTTGCTTCATCTTTCACGTACCTGTCTCGTAATTTGGCCATTGTCTGCGAAACGTTTGTTTAATAACGCAAAATTTTAAATGGAATGCTGACGACAACGTCCAGACTGACAGACATTTTTAAGTGATATTGATTATGAATGGCACTAAAAATCTCTTTTTTCCAAATTTTTCGCGTTCGCCTTTTCTAACGCACCTGTTTAAAAAAACAGCGTTACTTTGAGTTGTGGTACGCACACCCGCTGTACACATTTGGGGTCATGTTTGCTTGTGCACTCGCCTTGCAGCGATCTAGTCGTTATTGTAATTGTAGAGGACAGACTGTCGTTGAAATCTCCCTTGCTAAATTGCTTGTGTACGACAGCCATGTGTCACGTTTGTGTTTTTGAAATTGAAAGAAATCACCTGGAAACAGTGAAATTTTCTAACTGACCAAATCTTTAACAATCAGATTTTTTTGGAAATAATTTACCTATCAAGATTAACGAAACAAAAAATCGATGGAGTTATTGGTTTGGTGCAAAGTCAATTTCCCCAAATTGCGATCCTTATCGTAAAGTTATTCTCGAACGCTGCTATGCGACTATTTTGTTAGCCTTCTGTCTGCTTTTAAGGGACAAGCCATGACCGGAACAACGGCCGTCCACTGCAGAGTAATGCCACCTGCCTCCTTTGTTCTCTTTGCCATGCGACCTTGGTGATCAACATGTGGACACCCATTCTAGATGTGTGTTAGCCATGGCAACCAGGCGCACTTCAGTAACACGTGGGCGGTGCTTTGGTGTGAAAATATACTGACATATATTTATGTCGCTGTGTATATACTCACTATCATGGCCACACAATAGTTTGAATCACGCCGTCGCTCAATATCGCAACAAGCCTATTTTTGTTATTTAGTCGCTGAACCGGAGGCGACCCATAACCTGCCACCTTCGACCTCGAAGGATACCGTAATTTCACCACCGCATTTACCTGAAAAAACCAACTCCAAAGAAGACGTTTCCTTTGGTAAGTCAGTGCCACTTTCACATTCCTCTCCCAAATGCTTTTATTAAGCAGCCTAGTGCGTCATCGCACTTTACGCTCACGGCAACTTGCCGCATGGGCGCCCTACTTTTTATTACCATGTTTTGACTCCCTTGTACTTTGTCTCTGAAAGGCATCACTGGCGTCGTGTGCAAGGGCGTTGAGATCCTATTGGCTCCTCGAAGGAATTCACACACCGCCAGGTTGTCGTTGTTGTTGTTGTAGGCAGCAGCGTGGCTGTCTCAGTGGTTTAGCCAAGGGGACGTCTAGTTTTTCCTGCCCGGAGTTACGACTCACGAAGGCTGTGCATCACTTTTGGCGCTTACCTGCCCAGGCTCACATGACTTTAATGTTCCTGCGGTAAAGTTGCTTTGACAACTTGGTTACTGTACTGTGGTTAGGGGTATATTGAGTTAGACCTTAAACCGGCCAGTGATTGACTGCCTTCATTGTGCAAAAGAATTGCAATGACCTTTACTGTCACGTCAGGCGTTCTTCTTTGTTCCTACTGCTTGATGGAGTCCCATATTGCTTCACGGCTTTTCGTAAACTCTTCTCTTTCAAACTGTTAGCCTAAGTAAGACGTGTATCTCGTGTCCTCCAGATGGCCCGTTTTAGCATGGATCGGTGCCGTGGCAATTGCTGAGCCAGAACTTCCATTTGCTATTTTTATTTCGTAGGTTTGTTAAAAAATATCGTTTCCAAAGTTAAACCTTTCGCTACACGGTGGCAATACAGGACTATCCTTAATGAAGGTGCCGCATTGTATAATGAAATTAATCTGGAGAATGCACTGAAACATTTTTATGTGGGTAAACTGTCGAAACCTTCTTCCAGTTTAATCTTGTCTATGGATGCAGGTCGTTTGTCGGGCTTGCGAGGAGTCCACCGGCAAAGTCATCAGTTTTCTAAATTTATGCCCATGCTTTGTTGTTTCTTGACCGAATGTATCACAGCACTGTCTTTATTTGTGCCCTGATGTGTTTACTCTTAGAATTCGAAGTGGTGGTAAATGCATCTTTCCTCCTTTTGGCCTCCTAGACTGGAGGTTGACATTAGTTCTTCCGTGGTTTCTATTCGGCAATACATTTCTGCCGATTCCAAAAATTGGGTTAAAGTCGGTTGGGGTTTAACAGCCGATTTTTCGTGAAATACCGTTTGGTCAACTTTGAGGGGACTTTCTTTCCCCGCAATTCAGCCTATTGCTCCTGATGCCGCCCTGTCATTGCATATCCTGCATATGACCTCTTCAATTCTCTGTGTTTCACGTTCGTTAATTTAACTTGGAGTAAGTAACCTGTACGAGTGCAAGTTGTCGTCTAGACTAGTTCCTCAGACTCTATGAAAATTAATTGCCTCACTACCAACTGAAATTACATATACTTTTTCTTGTGAATTCAATTAAATAAGCTATTATTAGTTTGTAAAAATGGTTTATTGTTTGGTAAAACTCTGTAATTGCACCTTCTGTGAACTTAAACTGCAGTTTCGAACATGGACTGCTGGGCGTGACAGTGTTACAATTGATTTCACATCACTGGATGCCTAAAGGAGTTCCAATTTGTCGTGGTAATTTTGACAGCAAAGTGGTACATTGTATTCAAAGAGGCTCCCTCAGCTTTGAAAAACCCGTTAAATTAGTTTAGAACCGTCTTGGCATTCCTTTGATTCACTGTCTCTCTTCTGAAATTGACAGATTTGCTGGTGGAACTTCATGGTGGTTTATCGTCTGTTTCGTTTCCTGTCTAGCACCCACAACTGCGAGCAATCTGTTTCCGCAGGTTGCGTAATTTTTTTACTGCTAGATGACAAGCACAAGATGGCGCGAAATTTGCCGTCAGATTTTTTTTGAATTAAATCTGTTGCGCAAGCCAGTTTTTGTGTCTAGACGCCTGGCATTTCGGGCACTTTGGACCTATCGCGCGCGCGCTTCATTGTTTAGTAATGCCACGTAAGCGATGCGCGGTTGTCGGCGTCATGCGTAGTAATTTGCATACACGACTGTGTACTCTTCTTGCAACTGATTCGTTTTGTTCAGCTTGAAATTGTACTAAAATCACCACTGGGTCGCAGTGTTTGTCAAATAATTGCTTGTCTTTTTTCATTGTTACCAGTAGGATGTTTTTCTATTGGTGACAGACATGCTCCGTTAGGCACCCTTCTCGACTGTTAGCCCTTACCTCGCTATCTCCGGCCCTCCAGCGCTTTTAATCCGTAGTTTTTTACCATTCAAGAACTCCTGTTAGGCTTTGTAAGTTGCCTACACGGTAGTAATAGGACTGGCAATTACAGACGTCTCAACCTATTCTTTTATGTTGTAGAAAACAGCCCACTGTGTTCCGGGATATAAGTTGCTTTGTGGGCAAATTGAACTACTATACGCTTCTATCAGGTTTTACTGCAAGCCAAATTTTGTGCGCGACATTAATTTTCATGTTAGTTAAGTTCTTAGTGGATGATGAGATTGAATTTGTTAAATGTTGCATAAGTCGTCTACCTTTTTTCTAATTAGGATCCCGGTGTGTCGATTGTAAAAGGTTTCTGATGTTGACAGGAAGTTAATGCAAGCCGTGTATGTCTTTCCTTTTGAAGAGAAATCTGAACCCTCTGCAACTCCCCCGCCTCCTTCGCCACCGATGCGAGACAGCGGCAAGAGCCTTCTTCCGGAACGCACCGATGGCAGTGAGCCTTCTGCCTCACCCGAACCCCTCTCCTCGTCTACGGTTTCCTTGTCGAAGCCTCCTCCGCAACAACAGCAACACGCCTTCACATCTCCCTGCCTTCCCACTCAATCTCTTGAAACACCCGTGGTGCGTAGCTCTACTTTCACGCATTGCCTTTGCTTCCATTTTAACATGCATTTATGAAATGACCGTATTATGACAGTTGTATTTGTAAATTCTTAACAAAGGCGTTTAGTTTTTGATACATTCAAGGTCATTTCGCTCTACCTTATCCAGTGTGCAGTTATTACCTATACACTGCTGCGTGTACGTCTCTAGGGTTTTAAGCGGTGGCCATCAAAGTGTTACTAAATGACAAATTCATCCTAATTTACTGTGGCAAAAAACCCTTACTAAAAGGGAAGGGGTCAAATTCTTCCACAGTTCCAATGGTCAAATATATAAACTACTAAAAGAATATTTCATCGTAAATTTAATTTTTCACTTTATGCAGAAACTAAAATGTACAAGGAACGTATCAAACCACCCACAGCATTGGTCGAATTTTGTACATTGTGGTTCCGATCGAATGGCCACTGTTTTCGATCTACCACGGAAACAGAACGCATCACGTTTTTGACAAGCACCTTTGTCAACATGAGACCATCTAGGAGGGTCGAGTGAATTCCTCAAAAGGGCAAGTGGGTGAATAGATTGGGCATCAAAAAATAAGCACCCTCTGATCCTCATCATTCATCATGATCTTTAGTAGTAATCGAATTTAGGGGATTCTATAAATTCTGGGGTAATTGTGTGCAAAGCAGTCGCTGCTTCTTGGCATCACGACCATATAATTGGGGTGTGGCAGTACTACAGAAGATTTTCCACGCCATTTCTTATTACCTAATTTTCCCCTGCATTGTACCGTCTCCGACGTGGAGTGCTTTACCTACTTCTCCCTGTTTAGCTCGTTTCATTTCGAATTTTGCCATTGTCGCAGACGTCTTGCGTGGTTGGCTTCGTGTTTTTCTAATGTGCTCGTGTGGCAAGGTCAACACCAACTGCCGCCTCGACTTATGCAGCACAGCATTCCACTAGTTGGAGCCTTTGTTTTGTGTGAACACACTTGATCGTGTTTGGACCCGCACTCCTTTTTTCACACATGCTGTCGTTTAATGAATTGACGGTTTTTTTCATCAACCGAGGTATCTTTCGTTAATTGTCTTGCGATTTTGTGCTGTTTTTCTTAGTTCTGGTTAAGACGGGTAGCACCGTGCTCCTAAAATTGCGGAACATTTAAATCCTTATTTAATCGCATTTTGAACCGTAGTCTCATAAATGGTGTGTTAATTACGAAGCACTCAATGACTTTAAGTGTAATGGATTTTTTCTTAATTCTCTAGCGAATCGGGCAACCTACTTTTGACTTTTATATGCCTTTTTTGAAGATCGCACCAACATCTCGCAGCCTTGTGAGTCAACAACCGCAGAATCAACCAGTCGCCAGCACGAAACAGGAGGCAGCAAACCTGCTGGCTTGTGCTGGACGGACCAATGCTTTGCATAGAATACTAGAAGAGCACCAGCACCTGGAGGGTGGAATCAAGTTTCCTTCCGGTGCAGCCCCCCTTGCCAATCAGGAGGACGAGGAAATCGATGAGGCAGAAGTCGATTTGCAGGTGCCGCTCCCTCGTCCAGTCACTCATCCGCGTCGGATACGCAGCGCCTCTGATCTCTCTTGTGGACGTCCACTTCCTTCCTTTCCCTCTCGTCAAAATCCTGCCTTTTTTTCCTGTCCAGAATTATTTAATATTCCCCGTTACATTCTAACCCAACGGCGACGCCGTCCAAAGCGAACAGCATCAGCTCCCTCTGTCACCAAAGACAATAACGCCAAAATCTCAGTCACTAACGCCCCTCCTCCAGAGGTCTTAAAATCGGTTCCCATTGAACCGCCTATTAAAAAACCCTCGACGTCATCGGGTGAACAACAACGAATTCTGCCCACCGCGTATCTATCCCCACAGCCGTCAAGGTTGCTCAGACGTCTTAGGCAAAGTTCCGTGGCGAGCGGCAGATCCAGACCGACTTCGGCGTCAGTTCCCTCAATGGAGCAATGCCTTCAGAAGTCACCGAGAATGGGTGTCAGCGTCTCCGGATGCTACGCCACCCCACCTTGGCCGCATCAAACCACCATCGGCCTACCACCCACACCCCAAGTTCGCGTAAGTCTGGTGTCTTGGATTTTGCCGGCACCAAGGAAAACTAAGGCGAAATCATGAATGTCCTGCTTTATGATTTTCACGTACACTTTGTCAGAATTAGAAGGTTGAAAATGTTGGTGGCGTATTATACTAGTAGAAAATTGCCCTACGTTTCTACTGCACTGTTGACCCACCCTTAGTGCCATTAACCAAATGCCAACGAATAATCGGTTCACTTGATTCCTAACTTCGTTTGTCTCTAAATGTCAGCTTGTATCGCGTAGAAATGTAATTTTCGCCCATTTTGAGTATTTCCACTGCGTTTTCAGCCACAATCCATTTTAAAATTTGCCATCTCGTTAAAATTATGTGCAGTTAACTCGTCACTAGCCACTCGCCCTCCTTACTTTTTTTCAGATGGGAGCCTGTTTCACTTTGGTGTTCGAAGGTTGTCCCCTCACCATCAATTCGACGGCAAGTTGGGTCAACCCGGCGAATAATGGTAAACTCCGTTGACCTTCAAAGCAAGCTCTGTAAATTTGCTAAAATAATCGCGTTTAAGTGTGCCTTGATTTGTGCTTTAGGGCAAATTTTGCTCTTCGGGAGCGCTGAAGGCATTTATTTTCTAAGTCTTAAGGATCTTGCAGACCGCTCTTTGGAACTGGTAAGTCGCCTTGCTTATTTCACACCTGTCACTTTTTGTGTGCGTGGAACTGCGTTAGAGGCGTTTCACGTGCACTTTTAGGCGCTATGTTAAGCAGATCAGAGTGGGCTGAGAAGTCTTTTTTTAGCGTGGTTGTCAATCTACTAAAAGGGGCGATAATCGAATAAAAAGTCGCTAACTGTACAATTAGATTCCTCGTCACCCACTAGCCGCGTGCCAATTCACACTCAGAGCCGTAAGTTGGCCAGTTCTATGCCAGACTGCCACTGGTTAATGAGTTTCGCGCGTTTGTTTGCCTTTAATTCTCAACCATCAAATCGTCCCATTTGGTAGTAAACCATCAAATAGGGTCTTTTAGGATATTTTGCATTTCTTTATCTTTGAAATCCTTAAAGAGCTTTAAGCAAAGTGCTTCTGTGTCAACATTTCCTTCCGTCATATTTTAGCAGAATTGGTCTTGCCTCAATTTCAGGAATATATAGTGGGTATTGTTTGAGTTGGGATTACTCCTTGCTGTTCGTTTGTTGCCCCTAGCTTATCCCTTTTTGGTTTTGTCAGATTCCGTGATCTGTAACTGGGGTTTACTTTCACGCAAGATCAAGTATTCTCCACTGTAAATAATTTGAAAATTTCCATCTCTGGTTGGTTTGTCAAACTTGTTCAATCCCCTCAAAATCTTCCTGTGGGTGTATCAGTTGCTGAAATTGTTTGCCTCATCATTCTCCAGAAAGACCAATGTTCATATTCGTGAATTTGTTTTGCAGGAATTCCCATTTTCCTTTCTGAGTTCTCAGATTGAGCTAACCATAAAAGACCCATAATTAGATGGATTGATAAGTTGTGCTCACGTAAAACCCTCGCTTACCCTAACAGGACTCGTGCTTTCGTGTTGAATGTTAAGCCTTTCTTAGTCAATGGTTTCGTTTAACCAACTTAAGGTGGTTTATTTGTTTGATTTTTTTTATGCAAATAGCTTTCATCTCGCTTCTGCCACTGGCTGGCGGTTGTGCAGAATACCATGGTCTCAATGTCAGGAAATCCACCCCACCTGTACACCCACAACCTCACCACTCTCATGAAGATGAAGGCTTCTGGACATTCGATGAACGCCAAGATCAACCGCATCTCTAATTTCTTTCCAAAGTGAGTTTTTGACAGGTTCGAAGCATGGGGTTGATGTTTTCCACTTACCTCATCGAAATTCCTGTAATTTTTGCTGAATCCACTTTGTTTTTTTTTGTTTGAAGATCCCTTTTAACTAGTCTTTTGAACGAGTCTTTTGGCTCCACATCTCGGGCTTCGAAATTTGGACTCATTTCCCCTTTACTGCACTGCTCATTTGTCTGAAATCTCCTTAGCGTTTCTTCAATAGCATCTTTACCGTGCCTTTTGACATTACCTATTTCCAGGTTTTCTTGTAGCATTGTTTGCATCTGTCAATCGCACACAAATTATTTATTCATGTCTATTTTTAGGATAACCTGGTAACCTACAATTGCTTTGCTTTTGTGCTATTTGCTTCGTCCCGTAACTCATTTTTATCGGCAGATATCTTACATGTGGACTTACAGTACAGGTCCGCTGGCGCAAATCCCACCGCCACTCTCTTTTCTTTAGGCGTTTTTCTCCCTCTAATAAAGTGCCCAAAACGAAGGGCTGCCTCAGAGCCAGTCTGGTACGAAGTCCGTTCACCGGTGCCCGCTACCTTTGCGCTGCCTTCTCCCATGAGATCCTCGTCATGGAGTGGGTCAACACCCTTTCTACCTTCATCGAGACCAAGCGGGTATGGTTTTCCACAAATTCGGCTTTGGTGTTAACTTTGTACAGTCCTAGATTGCTAACTCAAAGGTGTTTTGCTTCATTAACTGTAACGTGTCCACTTAGACTTTCAACCGCACCTCTCAGGCCTGACACTCGCCTTAGAAATATCTGTTTTCGAAAAAAAACTTCTAAGTTTTAACACCTATTTTGCTTTATACGTACCTAGGCATAAGATGCATGCATATCCTTGATATCAATGCCGTGTCCTTTTTGCAAAATCGATTCATTTTGGTGCATTCCGTTTGATCAAAACTCTTAATCGAACATATATATTTATATTGTTACCTCCTACATTTAAGACTTAAAATTTGGTGCTTCTTTTTTACAGGTCCCAGTCTCAAATGCCCCCCAACCGCTGACCACATTCAACCTTCTGGTTCAACAGGATTTGAGATTTCCCTTGGCTTGTCTGGGTGTCTATAGGCATCATTCACGCCGGGGCATGGCTGGCGAACGCTACCGGTTGCATCTCATCGATCTGAACGCGCCCGCCTCCACCGGCACCGGCCCTGGCCCCTCCTCCCACCACGTGGACCCGATCCCACCCCCGAATTGCCCTCTCTCTCCTCCTCCTCCTGGCGTTCCAGCTGACCACAAGAAATCCCCCAAGTCCCGTCCCCAGTCGGGCTTCTTTGCCCACGAACTCCTTCCTGAGGACGCAACTGGCGCAGCCAATATTGTCAGGAACAATAATTCCGTGTTTCTGGGTAATTGGAAATTTTCGTCGTACGCACCACAACGTTTTTCAAACAAGTTTAGGACGCCCTTCACTGCGTGATTCAGTGGTGATGGTTTAAGTTGATGTTAAACAACGCCATCAAATTTAAAACGTTAACTTTTTTTATGTTACTCTGACTGTCAAATTTTAACTTTACATAAAGTTGCAATTTCCGTTTAATTGCTCTCCTCCTAAGTGGCCATCCATGAAACTACTGCGGATTAGCTCCGCCCAGTTAAACAGCCGCTGCTACCTCGTTTGGTGGCATTTCTTCGCTTGAAGTTTAGCTTGGTAAAAATATGCATATTTTTTCACTAATTAGTATGCCCAACGTCTGACTGGAGTTCCTTAAAGACTTAACATGGTGATGTACTGAAAAGTCACATCCTTCGGTAAAACACAAATGTAAATTTATCGACCTTTTGCTGTCTTCTTGCTATCACGACCACCCACTTGACATCACGACTGTTCTTCGTCGGTGGCGCACCGATCACCTTTTCCTCTTCCTTATGTCACAGTCGGCATCTGGGTCTCGTGTTTTACCTTTCAACTTGGGTGTTCACGGGCTCTTTTCGGGACCTTTGACGTCAATGTAATTGCGCTTTCATGCTACTCCCCGCTCTACTACGCGTTTAACTCACAACACGGGTCCTTATTGTCCTCCCTTGTTTTGTTCTGTTTTATCTAAGCCCCCCGGGTTCGTCACTTTGACGTTTAACGATCCACTAACGTCAAACAATTGATTCTGGCTTTTAAGGTTGTTGTAACTTTACTGTCGACGCCATTTATGTTGGATTTCACGTCTGTTTTCATTAATGTATCATTTATTTATACGCCTTAGTAGCTTGAAATGCATTCAGGATCTGACCATTTTCAAGCAGAAAGCGTACAATACCTTCTTTTTATGTAAAGGGTTTCGTTAAACTGTCCTCTTCGTTTCTTTTGTTTCATGGCCTTCCACAGTTCAAGTCTTGGTTTCACTGTTTTTAACCAAACTTCGTCGGCCTTAAGTTTATCAATAATGCACTAATGTGCAACGAAAATGTATGTGTAAGCACTACGTACAGGGGCAAAATGTTTGCATCCTGCCGCTTTTTAAATCACTATTCGTTTTTTTTAAAACGCCTCTCATACGCTTAAAATACAGAATCTGTAATCCCAATAAGAAATTATCTAAAATTATTTCTGGTTTCTCCTTTTAGAATCCGACCGATTGCCCATTGTCAGTGTAATTCAACTTCTCAAAAATACCGTCCTTGTTTGCTTTTCGGGTACGTGGGTGCTAATTTTTGCTGCGCACTGCTATCGTTGTTGTTGGCTGCCATCGCGCCAAGTGTGCACTTCCTTTGATTTTCAGACTGTGCGAAGCTGGTGAGCTTCAACGGCCGGTTGCGGAAGAAGTTGCAACAGCCAAACACTATCTCATTCGATGGCCTAAAAATCCAGTCGGTCGGTAAGTTTATGAGCGTTACTTGTTTTTGGATGGATTCGGCTATAATGAAAGAATAACCGGGTATCTCAATCGCCTACAGAAACACGTTTAATTTCTATCAATTTTGACGAAGAAAGGATTTCCCAAAAGCCGATCGTTTACAGGAAATTGAAGGAATCGGTAAAATTCGGTATTATTTGATGTTATTATCGTTCTCAAACACAGACCCTTGAATCAGTTGGGCTGGCAACTGACAATATTTCGTGGACAAATGGTATCCACGTAATTGTGGACTCATGAATTACTTTGCTCACCCATCTCGGAGCACTTTGTCCCGAACTTCGTCTTGCAGCCCATGAATTATTACCATTATGTCATTTTTGGATTGGTTCAATTGTGTATGGGTGTGCATTCATTAGAACCGCATGCTTATGGTTTTTCTTGGATCATACCTGCTCTCTTGTTGTCTATACTTCCTTCAAGTAGATTCGTGCTTTTGGTTTATTTGCTAATTGTCCCCTAGAAACGGGTTAGCTGTAGTCTTGAGTATTCTCACATCTGAACACTCTGTGTGCTCTTTGCCATTACCCAAGCCGTCCATATCCGCCTCAGGCGCGATATTTCTTTAATTTTACGAAGCTCCTGTAATTTACCTCTCCCCACAGTCATTAGGCGGTCATATAATGCTAGTATTACGCATTAGGCAGATGATGGTTCTAATGCATTTGAGTCAATCAATCTGGAAACGGATCTGGAGTTGCCTTTTCAATTACTGCTTTCCTGAGTCGGTCGTTCGCGACCACATCGTCGTGATCATTAAGGCACTTCACATAGGTCTTTGCGCCTTCATAAGCAACCACCGCCATAACTTCTAATGATTGTTGACTAAGGCCTCTTATCGCGTCTTATCGCCAGATCACCGTAAACACGGTTCTAATTGGTGGCTTTGTTTGCATTAGCCGAACGAAATGACCTGCGAATCCTCACAATTTTTTTCAGAAACGGTGGCCTGGAGCGATTTCAAGTTTCACTGTGCAGTTTCTTAGTGCTTTCAAAACACTCACTGACACTTTTGATTTTTTCTTGATGGTGCCTTCATTCTAAAATTTGTATGGCAAAATTTGCAAAATTAAGAAAAAGATCGACTTTGGAATGTGGTCGACAGGGCCCGGAGTATTTTGATGTGCTTTCAGTGAAGCAAATTTTCAATTCTCCAGTCTCGAAGGTTCCTTATGACGTAAACAGTGGAATGGGGCGAACAGTGCCTAGCCTCGTTGACCTTAAGAGCAGTTTAATGTTAATAATCTCCTTGAATTGTGTTCCAAACCACTATGGTGCTTACTGCAAACCCTGACTGGAGCAACTGTGGAAACATCGCCTTGTTGTCTGCATACTGTGTATTCGCCATCGCCGCATAGTCACTAGGGTTGTTGCTCAAGGAATTCCATGTGGGACTGTGACAGGAAGTCAAGTTACTGCAACCTGCACTTCATACAACCGGAAGAGGTGCTAAGGCTAGTGTCGTAAATTGTCGAGGGATGAACAGGCAGCCTACAACTGACATCCGATGATTCTGTAGTCCTCATCTACGCCTTGAATTAGTACGGCAAAAACAAACAACTATCACTGGTATTGGTTGTTTTTCCGGGTCTATATACGAAACGAGACAAGACCGAATTTGAATGTTTTCAAGGAAGAACAAGGGGGTCTGAGATAAATTGATTCGATGCTATCGCCAGTTAGTGCTACCGGTTGTCTAGCTACGAGGATCCATTGCTGTAACGAACGCACGTTTGTGTGGATCAAAAAGCTGCAAACAAAGTGTTGCCAAACGTATGGTTCCGAGAACCTTGCTCTCTGACCACTGGATCAACGCAGAAGTCAAGTAGGGAATGACACCGATCTGGGATCGTGACCGTGCTAAAAATGAGGTAGTAGCCACGCGGGCACATGCTGCCGGAATCGCGTGAGGCCGACGCGTAAATTTGCTACCCGCCCAAACTCTGCTTACGGGCTCGGTACCCATTTGGAAGCCGTCTTTTTTATGCCGGTCGATGGAGTTGACAAAACCAGCGGCTGCGAATATGGTCTTGTTCGGTAGATGGCTCAGTTGCGTGTTGCCGTCAGCGCTGTTGAGATCGATGCGTGCACAGGGAGGTGAAATGGCCGTGCATTCTTGGGCTGATGTCTCGCGTTTGTGGTTATGGCGGATTAGCTGTCATGGCTCTCACTCCCACTGACAGTAGACATGAGTCAACTCACCGCTGAGTCATCCATCGATGACGTTGGTAGTGGTTTGGATTGAATTTTTAGGTTTGGTGAAGTTGTCAGTGCATTGAAGAGAAAAGAAATGTTTGGACCGAAAATTTTTGCCAAATAGACGTGCCGACTTCCTGTATTCGCAAACTATAAGTTTGCAGTTCATGCTGAAATACTTTTCCTTTGTTTTTCTCCCCGAATTTGCTGGAATCTAGTGGTTACTTTGTTGGTTGTTTTGCACCTATTATTTTGTTTATTTTAAATAAATCGTTGTTACTCTTTTAGTTGGCCTTCGTGACAGCCTACTAGTCTTTCACCGACATGGTTTCTTGGGTAAAAGCTTCACTGGGGAGGTTAGTTGTGTATCGCTGATTGCTACTAATATTTAATGTGTAGATGTTATTGTACGACGATGCATACCGTTGCCGGTGTGTTGAGGTTTACTTCCATGCACACGATTTTCGCAAAAACCAAGTCCAAACTAAGTGCTAATGATTATCTGTAATCTACACATTTTTCTTTTTTAGCTGACCCAAGAAATTAACGATGACAAGCATATTTACCGGGTTCTAGGTCATGATCGGTAAGGTTTCATCTTTTTCGTCTCTGATTGATTTTTCATTCAACTTGTGCTGTCCACTTTCCCATTGTACCTTTTTTCCACTTGTCACTTTTTCTTGCGTGAACCAAAACATCCTACTCGTAGCTTTGGGTAGTTGGTGATTTGTCTCCGATTTTTTTATGCTGTGACCAATGAATCCACTTCCCTGAATCCCCTTGCAGCCAATTCTTTTATCCACCGATTTTGGCTGACTTCAGATTTACGCTCATGGGCTGCTAGTCGATTTCTTTTCCTCGAATCAACCCCAGTTCCTTGCTTTCTCTATCAGACAATTTATCACTTCTGTGTCCAATTTACCTTTGAAGTCAGTAACGATTCTGTGGTCGTCTGTATTCCCATCTTCTCATGAAATGAGCGTTCGCGGTTTATTCATTTTATTCCGCTACTGTTTTTTATTCAATATGCAGCCAGCATGTTTCTGTTCAGGTTCTTTTTTCCCCTTCTAATTCCGTGCTTGATAAATAGTGCCGGCAAAAGGAAAAAATCTGCAAAAAAATAACCTCACTGGACTTTGACAGTTTGTGAAACACATTCATATGTTTAATTTCTCCACTTAAGCTTGACAATTCATTGGTTGGCAAGTAGAATTTGTGGAACATCAACGCTCAATTGGGTGGCTTTCTTTAATCGCCTTGTTTTTTGACTTGTAGGAACATCGTTGTTGAAAGTCGACCAATTGGTAGTTCCTCCAGCAACTCCAACATCTACCTTCTTGCCGGACACACCGACAATCTCGCATAGCCACCTCGATGCTCCGACGCTCCTAGATTTTTAAGTGATTTCCTACCACCCTGCGTAGATGTGACGTTGATGATGTCAACTAGTCCACCACGCCTCGTACCATCGACAAATAGCTTTCTTTGTTTCTTTTCGTTTGGCCCTCCTCCCAGCACACGCGCACACCCATACCCACAATATATATAAATACTTGTATATTTAGTTTTTTTATCATCTACGCCATCAAGGACAATCTCTTGTGCGCCCAACCGGTTGCTTTTTTAGTCCATACCCCGCCAGACCATCCCATCTCTCTCTCTCTTATTTTAGGGCTACGATCACGCAACTTCACACTTCTGTCTCCACCTACCTTTCCTCACACACCAAAACAGATACACCAATCCAGTGATGTAAACACTTTTACACGCATTTTGTGCTTGTATCATCCCTTATGCGGGCGCCGTTGGTACGCACGATCCCGTGTCCGCGCTGTAAGCTAGGTTTCTCTTGTGTCATCTCGCATTGTCTTTTGTCACTGTGACGGTTTTTACGGCTTCTGCTGCACTGCAACATTCACTGCCTGCGCGAGAGGAGCGGATGGTTGATTTTGTTAAAGAGAGGGACTATTTATGTCTTGAGTCTTTTTTTCTCACTGAGCTTATTTGGCCCTGGTGAATTCGCGTAGTCATCTCCCACAGGGACCAGGACGTGAGCCCTTTGAGCAATTTCGCCACAGGTGTTGTGCAGGCAGAAACACACTCACTACGACCACTTAAAGTGGATTGAGATCCTAACTTTAGGTGTTGGTGGCGTTGTGTAGTAAGGCGGCAGCAAAGCGTTCCTGTTGTGTGATCTCTCGGGGCATTGTGCAGTCAATGAACCTCGGGAGGTGACAATTTGGCGTAGGTTTTGCTTGCCAAGTAATTGTCGAGTTTGAACGGAGTCTTGGCTAACTTGGGTCTAGAGTTGTACCGTCGAATTCTAGTTTTTCATCGATCTCTCTCAACGATGCCGACATGCAGTAAGAAATGTCAGTGGGATAGAGGCACTTGTTGCTTTCCAGCGTTCCAGACTGCCTGGCTGTTGGTGTGCTTTTGTGTTCAAACACCATGGTGTTTGACGATGAGCAGTGGTTTTCGTTCTAAACTTGACGCCTTTTTATGATCTACCTGGGCGTTAGAGTTTCGAGAATGCTTTGATGCGTCATTATGGGCGGCATGTACTTTTAGTTCGTTTTAATCATAAACTACTTAATAGCCGGGGTCCCCTGCCATGCACTGGTTGTTGTCTTCGAAGATTATTGAACTGGTGACATTCCTCTTCACGAGGTTCTTTTGTGTCAATTTGGAAATGACTGAAGTATGCGAAACGCTCCTGCGCTAAACGTTAGTTATTAGATGTGAGTTCGACCGCTGTGTGCATGCAATTACCATGGTCCACGGTAAAGAATGCCCAAATATTCTTTTTCTGTGGAGTGTAAACAGTTATATTAATATTTCGTGGCAACTGTGGTATTTCCCTCTGCAGTGTGATACACACGCCATCGTTTTCTCCCATACAAACTGATTTATCGGCGCGGTTTGACCTCTGATTCTTGCCAATCTTAATTCTCATTTGTTTCAAGCTCTTATCTAAAATCCCTCACTCTGTGCTGTCCTCGATTCTGAAAATGCAAAGCTGTATCTCATAAGCTAATTATTTCGTTGTGTGGTGCGGGTTTTGCCGGCTAGAAACTGCCTAAATGTCATCTAGGGTGTATCGTTCCGTGTTATATCTTCGAATGACCATCGCATGGAAATAATTACTGCAAACCACTTTCGAAATAGTGCGTGAAGTCGTTGTGCTGCACACCATCAGTTATCCACCGTCGTGGCGTAGTTGACGTGTAAAGCATGGATTGCCGCATTTTGTACTTTTCAGTGTTAGCATTTTGGCTTTTGAAACTGTTCGAAGAGACATTGCCTCAGTAAAGTCCCTCAGATTAACATGTCAAATGTATCAGCTTCGCACAATTTTCGGTTATCCACTTTCGTCTACTCTATTCAGACGTACATTTTTATTTGACTAAAAATCACCGCCCATGTGTGCAATGTTGATTTGAATTCAAAGCATAAAGTCTATTTATAGCATACTGGAGCCATCGACACGGCTGACTCAGCACCCATTACATGCGCAAGCAGACGCAGCGCTTGCCATTAGCCGAGGGCTGTGGAGACCATCAAATTGCTGATCGTATTTCGACAGATGATGATCGCACTCTAATAGCCCATAGCGATTGGTGTTGCCTTTTTCTGATCTTGCATCATAGTGACCGGATGCATTTACATTAGTTACCTTATTTTAGCAAACTAATGAAAATTCTTTTCAGCGCAAGCCACTTAATAAATAACGATAACGATCAACCGATAGTGCGGATATACAGCTTCAGCCACCCTTCCTAAATTTCTATTTGCAAAAAATGTGTGTTATTTGTCATTTTAAAAATAATGTTAACTGTTTAAGATCGCGTTTCAAAGGTTTTATCTTCCACACTTCAGGAATCATTACTTTGTTTACACCTAGTGCTAATCCTGAGATACTAGCAAGCAAAAGTAAAGAACAAATTGAAATTATTTCCACATGAACTGCAAGGAAAGAAAAAGCTTTAATGTAGATTTCTTACTAAGGATAATCACAGTTAATCCAAATTAATATTGCCTTGCGAAATACATAATCCCCATGCTCCACGTCAAAATACGTAGAGCAGATTTGTAGTCATCTGGTGATCTTTAGTCAACTCATTACCTCTCGAATAATCCTAGAAAGACGTCGTCGTTAAGATCATCCTATCAACGGTCATCTTTGTTGAATTCCATTTATAAATGGGGATATCTGTTGCCATAGTTGTTTTTGAAGCAGTCCATCTTTGGCAGCAATCCTTTTACTAACAAATGTGAGGCACTTAGATGACTGGATACTTGTGCCAAGACACCCCATGTTCTGAATAGATCTTTCGTGTCCGCTAGAAACCAGCAGTGGAGGCTTTTGGTAATAAGATGGGTAAATTGATAGTGTTTTCAGTTAATCTCGTATTAAAGCAAGGTATTTCATGGTAGCAAGCGACTAATTGTGCACAGTGTATCGATTTTGCAAATGTCCTTACTGGTACCAATTTTCCACTATGCCATTATCTTCAGCATTTTTTATGGTTCCTAATCTACAGTATCAATCCGAGAGGAAAAGATTTTCTTGACTCTATTCTTGTCTGTTGACATTAAATTTGCAAGACGCAATTAAATTCACCAGATTGCTTCCTAGCTCAAACCTCTGCATTATCTGCGTCTAAAACGTTGACGCAAACGAGCGCACAATCAGATTGTCTCCTGGGTTGTCTTATGGCCATCTAAAAAAACCTATCGTCTGGTATTTTTGCACATAAATTGATGTGTTTGCATTGCTGGTGGTGCACCTTACGTCAGATCTCCTCTCCGTCAACGTCCCAAGTTTTCCTTGACCACCAGCTGTTGCTGCTGTCAGTCACCCACCAACCAACTGGCATGACTAAGCACGGCCTTTTTCTAGCCTCACTAGGAGCCTGCAAGCCCAGCGGATGCAATTCAGACTGATTCACGTTTCCGGAGTCCCAGAAGGTTAAATAATCTGTACGTGAGCCCCTGAACAAGTGGTATTTTCTTCAGGATACATGATACTGAAGTATTGTGGCACTTCTGCCTAACAGGATTCACTGTATGACATTGCGCAAGTAGAAGGATGAGTCAACGGCCATTAGCGATTACGTTGTGTCAAGACTATTGGTTAAGTTGATGTGCCAGTGCTTTCCATGCAAGGTCACTGCTTTGCTAGTGGAAACATGTTACGTCAACTAATTTGCAACTGCGGCACAAAAAATAGCTGCCACAGCTGTGACATGTATAAAAAGAGCAACATACTGCCATTTATTGTGTGTGGTCAAAGGGAGTACAATTTATTGCTGATAGATATTTAGAATCATGGGGATTATAGAGAAAATATTATGTAACGCGAAAGCACGAGTTTAAATGCTGCTCAAAGTTTTTTTTAAAGAAAGGCTTAACTAGATTTAGAAATGTAAGTTTGAAAAAAATGGAGAACTGATGCATTGGTAATCACGAAACAAAATATGAATTAAGTAAAATTTATTTATGGAATTATTAAAAAAAGTTTTGGAAAGTGGCATCAAAAAAACTTTACGGAAAAATGCAGATTATTCCAAAGCAATGGGGTCTTTTTGGTAAATTGTATTTTTTGTTCGAATGCTAGCTTGCATAAATTTGTTTGCTAGAGGTTTAGCCAATCCGAATTTGCCTTAATATCACTTTTGAATGTGCCAAATGAAATTCTTTCCAGATGCCTATTGCAGACAACTTCCGAAACCAAACGTACTGGGATGGCCAAAGATCGACTCCTGCAGAAAAATCGAAATTTTTATGATTTATTGATTGTCAGGACCTGACAATCAGTCTGAATGATGCTCTAATTTTAGCAACAAAATGGTGTTGATTAAGTGATTTATCATAGGTAGGTGCTACATTTGCCGAACACCTTTTTTGGAAGAAACAAAATCATTCACATTAAACACTAGGAAACGGCATCATGATACCAAGAAAAGAAAATATTTTTCCTTAAGTTCACTCAAACCTGCCTGAAACAACTGCATCGATTTCAGAACTTCATTAAGTGAATTTAGATCCCCATTTTTATTTAATTTTAGTTCAAGTTTTCTTTGCTTAATTTACAGAATGAAACACCAGTTGGGTTTTTCTGGTGTTAGCGTAAAGGCAAAAAAATAATTGAACCAACCAATCAGGGTATGCGATGGATATATTATTCGAGACATTGTCAACACGTTATTTAAGGTTGGTTCAAATTATAAAAAAAGTATAAAAGAGTGCACAAAATCAAAAATAAAAGTTAAACGAATGCATTTTTAGATGACCAATTTGGGTAGCAACGAAAAAACGGTAGAAACAAGGGCAAAACTCATTTAGATAGCACAACTGAGTTTGAAGTGGCTCTCAGGCCTGTGTTAGAATGCCTCATATAAATTGATTTTACATCTAAAATTGTAAGACGATGACGGTAAAATATATCACTTTTGCATTTACTAAAATTTGGAAGACTTACAAACTATAATATCGCTCAAGCTTTTACAGAATTTACGGAAAACTCTTTTGGCTGGTGTTGAAGAAAACCTTGTCTCATGGTTCTGGCTTTTGATGCGTCAAGAACTGAGGTACTAACTGGAACGTCCCCCTTTCGAGGAGTCTACATACTCTGCTTGATTTAGTCGTGTGCCATGATTTACAAATAACCTATACCCTGGCTTAATCATGCTATTTATTTGACAGTAGTGTATTTTTCATATTACCATTGTATATATTCCCCATTGTTTGTTTACATAAATTTTGAAGTTATTACTGATCTCAAAAAAGTTTTTGATATATTTCTCTTCACAGGAATTGAGGTTTTCAATATAAATCTCTCTTCTAACTTACCGAAAAACAAAAAATTTGAACACTTGTTGACCTATCATGTGTACAACTCGAGAAACAAAACTGCAAACGCTGGAAACCTGTGGTAAATTTGGGAATTCTATCCATTACTGGATGAACTAGTAAATAGTTCAAATCTTGGAATATAAAAAATGTGTTTTGCGTAGATTTTCACGCATTCAAACCTATAAGGGCCTAGCAGTTCTCATCTTTAAGCAAACGAGAAGGCCAATTTCTTCTGCGATTGCGCAACTCGCCATTGTACCGCACTTATGCAATAGTCATGACCATTATCTGCAAATATTGGAAATGAATTTTTTTACAATACATTGTGTGGTCAAATTAACTTATTTCTACCAAGTTGCAAAGAATTTATGTTCAGGGATGACTATTTTCCCCATCATGGCTTTCTTCCCTTAAAATAAGCATATTGTAAGCGAACATTACTTTTGCACTACCCTTATCCTTAGAATTTCGCAGCTGGCCAATTTAATGCATCCCACACACACACACCGCGCACAAATCTATGCGCTCTGTGTTCACACACCTGTTACTGATATGCCTCTATTCTTAGACCAGTTTTGCCGTTTTTGCCCATGCTTAATAGCGAGTGCCGTTTTGTGTGCGGGGACGTACTGTTCTGCCTCCAGTGCTTACTGACCTCACTTTAGGTCGCCTTCGTCTTCCGCGTTTCAATCAAATACCCAGCTCTCGAAGTATGTCTTTACAGCAATGAGGGCGTTTCGTGTTCTACGTGTTACTGCACTCAGCCAGATTTAATCGAATTCTTAAGGATTCCGACGCAAAGCTTATCAAGGGCTGCATAATTCGGGTGAATTGTATTCCCTTTGAGCATTCTAAATCTTCCGGTTAAAAAGGAAACAAATAAGCTTGAAATTCATGTGACCATTTGCATTTATAAAGAAAAAAAACCATCTATTCGTGTACTTTGCTGAGCATTTAACAGGACACCACAAGTTTGGATTTCATAGAATGCAGATGTCTTCTTTCTTGCAACTACTAGGCTGACCATTATGCTACTGCTGTTCCTGTCATAACTAAATGCCCTTTTCCATACCTCATATGAACATGCCATTAGTTTAGACTTCAGTACTGCTCAAAAAGGCGTGCACGTTTGCCAGTTAGAACACAACGCTTTATTCGGGGTAAAACTTTGACAACCCAAGGGGTCACTAGAAACCCAAATGGCTTTTCATTTAGTTTGAGGTATTAAAAAAAGCTGAGAAACACATTTTGCATTTGTGGGTTTAACATTGTATGGGCACATTGGTAGAAAACGTTGTAGAGAAGCAGTGGTTGTGGTCTCAGTTTATGACTGCTCCAATCTAGCATGGGATTAATGGAATCTGTAGTGGACAGACAGCCACCTCGAATGAGTGAGGATGGCCTGAGTGTACCAATTACCCCTTCTGCTATTGGCTTCAGTTAGCATTCGCCTGTTACGCACGCTTACTCATACGCACACAAAGATACTTGGCTGTTTTGACTCGAATAAACGGTCGTATTCTCTGGGGCCTCATTTTCACCCCTCCTCGGGTTGTCACAGGCTAACTAGGGGGCTGTAAGGTAGTGCTGAAACACAAGCCACTTCAAATCGCTGAATATTAGTAAGGGAGTCCATGCTGTAGGTTGGGATTTTAGGTAAAAGACGGTTTGGTGCCAACAAAAGGAGGCCGCATACAGCAAAACCACAATCGGCCGTACATTACCACCTGCTACGTCACGCATGTGCAAGCACTAATTCGATTGTAACCGTTCTTTCACATGATTGGTTACTGGGATTTCCAGTTGAATATTTAAGCTCGAGCCGAAGGTCCAGGTTCTGTTAACTGAACGCACGAGCCATGTCTTCACTGAAAACCATCCTTATATTCTTCTATTTGATCTTGGCTGATTGCCTTCTGATCGAGTACCCAATGTCGATAGAGAAGGCACCATTCATGGCTACTGTGGGCAACTGTGGTGGAGCCATAGTCTCCCGGCAATTCGTCCTCGTTTCTGGGAAGTGTCTTTGTTTGGGCGAACGGCCCTCAGTAGTCTATACTGGAACTAGTTGGAGCAATATCGGCAGTCTTCCGAAGCAGGGTAAGTTTGTGATTAATTCAAACTCCGTGCTTGTGGTGCATCATAATAGCCTATTCAGGTGATTGTTAATATTTAAAAATTTGGGAAAATCAGCCTCTTTGACAGAGATAAAGGTCGAGATAAGAATCGTCCATTTTGTAGATTTTTGACGGAGAACTCGCTCCACTGCTTAGTTTATACACTAGCTACTTTTTGCATAATCATGGCTGCAATGTGTGGGGCTCATGACGAGTAAAAGTGGGATACTACTGTTTGCACATTTCCCATGCTCGACTCAGTACAAAATTAACATATTTATTGTGTATTATTAAATTGCCAATCCTAGTTACACATGTCCATTTTGCCACAAACTGAAATTAACATATACTGTATCATATCGTTATGAGCACTATATTTTGCTGTGTAACTCAGGTTGTGCAAACTTACGTAGACATTGTCATTTAATCATTATAGATAGCACCAATTTAAAGTAAACAGACGTGACTGCCATCTTGATGTAACATTACAATATGTAGTTTTTGTACGCTGCCTTCAAAATTACCAGAAGTAAGAGATTACAATTTACCTTGGTATCGCACAGTTCACCCTTGTGACCTTTCGTGACTGTGATGTTACACAGTAGTAGTTTTTAGTCAAAGTCTTCTTAGGAGCCACCAAAATCGTAGTAAGTTGTTATGACACAGATCCTTTGTGCTCTCACGTCTTAGTTTGTTTTCATAAAATCCAAAAATGTCGTATTTGTTTTCGTTTGTTATTATTTATTATCTATTTCATCATCAACAGAAATAATTTAGTCTTTCCAAACACAATGAAGAAATAGGTTCATGTCATGGTCTGCACAGTCTTTTTACGTTAAACAATGTGTTTTTCTAGACAACTCACCACTGCTACGTTGCATTAGTTAAAATCGACCCAAACAATTTGTTACCTCACGTTTCACCGCCTGCTTGAGGGTTGGGTTCGTAAGTCCCTTCGTTAGGTAAATGCCTTGCAAAATAGGCTTTTGTTTTTTTTAAATAAACACTACACTAGTAACCACGACGTCAATTTTGTAGAATATCTATAGCTCAAGTGTTGATTTTTAAAAACGAGGCGTATGTTGTGAGGTTTCAACCTTCAGTTTGACAATAAAGCCATTAAAACAGGTATGCGTTGGCATTCAGCATAATTTCCTAATTGTAGAGAAAACCAAGAACCAGTCGTATTAGAAATAATAACAATTTATTACAGACTGGACGTAATTATAAATTAAAATAATGCACTTTTACAAGTACGTTCGTAAATTTTCACTGTGATCAAACATCCGAAATTTGTAATTTGAGCGTGATTTTGGTCATCATCTATTACGTTGCTAAATGTCCTGTAGTATTTGTCTAGGTACTTTAGCCTGGTAATTAAGATGTGGCTGAAAATCCGTAGAATGATTGGCGTAACTTTTCAATGATCCAAATCTGATTAATTACTTAGTGAAAATCATCAAGCGGTTAATTTCTTGCTTCAGTTCAACCATCACCTTGCCCATTAGCTTTGCATTGAGCTTTCAAAATCAACCTGGAGCATTGTCTTCGCTTGGCAAGTCCTAGATGCACTAAGCTTGCCCTCTCGAAGTCCTTTTTTTAAAAAAAAAACATTAGCTAATCTGCAGCTCCGATTTTACACCATCACCTCCAAAAAGAGCACTCTTAAGTTAAATGAAATAATGCTTATTTGGCTAGTGTATTCATCATCTTGCAATGCATTGATGTCCGTTGGCATGTTGACACTTAATCCTGTCTATTGTGTCTAAATGTCTCGTAAATTCTGTCATTCACCCTAGAACATCGGATAAAACGATTTCGCTTTGAACGTGACTACGGCTACTGTTCGCAAAGTCGACGATCGGATTTCGTTTTGGCAGAGTTGGAAGACAGTTTGATTTACGACCACCGAGTGCAACCTATTCAGCTCTACTGTGCGTCTCACCTCCCTGGTCAACTCGTTGCCCTTGGCTTCCACTTCCCAGGTCAGCTGTACGGTTTCATTAACGAGGCGCTGGTCAACGTGAGGCGGGGTGAGCATCGGTACCTCCAGGCGCTAAACAACGACATCCCTTCGGATGCCGTGGGTCCGCTTGTAAGCGTGCACGGGGACAGAAAGCGCCCCCACCTTGTTGGCGTCTACTCCCACCGTTATGGAAAGACAAGTTTCTTTAAGGCTCTAGACCACACCAGCTGCAACTGGGTCCGACAACTCATTAATGAGGCCTACCGAAGGGGGTGAAGGCGGTGCCCTCTTTGCTGCTTTGTTTTTCCCTCGCTCCAACTTATCCGTCTTTCATATTTGATTTGCTTCTTCTCACCACTGCTCTCCTCTCTATTTGGCTGGCCTCTGTACATAAATGAGTTAAGAATTGCTAGTTATTGATCTTTGCGCCTACCACCTCAGCCTGAGAATCTTTGAACCTCGTTAGATTCTTTTTCGTTTCTTGTCATCGTGTCTACTATTTTTTGCTTTAAAACCACTGATTTTGTTGTATGTAAAAATTGGAACTTAGAAATAACTAACGATTAAATTTTGTTTAAGTTGACCTACGGCTATAAAGCAATCTTGGACTGATGGTGGCTCTTTTGAATTGAATGACACCGTCTGCCTAGAATGTTACAAATGGGTGCAGTACGGGTCCAAATTCACGCCCTCAGTGTTTACCACATTCCACGCAGTCACTGATTCAAATTAATTTTACCAATAGCAAAAAAAGTTCATACTGCTGCTGATCAATAAATGAGGCAAAGCACAATAATGCTCCAAATTGGGTCATTTTCCAGAGAACAAATCCCTACCAAGCCAGATTCACGAGAGCAGCATGTTAACCCTAAAAATTAAATCCTGTAAGTTGATAAATGAAAGCGTCAATTGTTATTCCATAGTAATAGAAGAACAGTTCGCCGGAGTGAGTAATTTGCCTTCATAAATGGCCTTGTGGACAGGCGTTGGATTTCTTTAAAGCTAATTACATTTAGCAGGATCAAACAGATTGGACTTAACCGCAAGCAAATGCAAAGATCTGCATAAACTCAAAGGCAAGAATTTGTATACCAATGACGGATGCTATTCATAACACAAACCCATGACATAATCGATTAATAATGCAAATTTAACAAATGACCTGTAGGCTAAAAGTTAATAAAAGGACAATTTTAAGATGCATTACTATTCTGACAAAAAAAATGCATATTGAATCACTTCATAGTAATGTAAAAGCTATGTGTGAATTAATATTTAATAAATTTTTAAAAATGTGTGGAACATTAAAGAAGGTGGTTTTCATAATCTTAGATTCTTCTTTGGCATTAACTTAGTTCGCAATACAAATATGACGCTTTGAAAAGTCGAGTCACAGAGCACTGACACAGAATTGAGCTACTTTTACTTCGCAGTAAAGCAGATCAATTCATACTGTGGTAGGACAATCAATTTCAAAATTGTGGAACAATCTAATTAGAACTCATTTAAAATCTTTAATTGAGGTTCTTAAAAATCGCAGAAGAAAGTCTTTATGAAACCCACTTGAGTAGTAATCCTCGTAGCCCACATAAGCCTTTGGGATTTGGTAGATTGTGGAAATGTACATTTTAAGCTAAAACAGGAGTTATCCTAAAACAATTTGCATAATGTTTTAAATGAAGGTAATAATGCATAATCGAGCACTTGCTCATTTACATCGGGAAACGTCATTCAATGTTTGTAGTTTTAATGCAGACACACCAAGCCACCAAACGTTACCTGAAAGAGATATTATTTCGGACTGACCTGACGGTAAAATTGGCAAACTATGCGTTTAGAAATGAGCTGTAAACGCAGCTTTCTACGTTTTCCGCTTAGAAAAAATCGATTTCCACAAGGAAGGCATTATGCCGATACTCATATATGTTTATAAAAGCCGTAATTTCTAATCCGCAATGCGCTGATATTTTAAATCGCGATTGCTGCCGCAAGGGAGTGGGGAGAAAAAAACGGATGTGTCTACAGTTTTGGAAAAACCAAGGCAAATGTTGGAGACATGTGACATAAAAATAGCCAAGTACAAGTGTGCTGTGCTAAAACTTAACTACAGAATAAGGAGAAGATTTCAGAATATACCTTATGGGCAGCACCCATTAAAACACTAACTGCATTGCTAAAGACAACATAAACATCGGTTTTTGTGTTCTCGTGAAGATCTTTTATTGAGTCATCTTGTAAAAATGAATGACGCTAGCAAATTACTCGTCACTCAAATAAACCATCCATTCTATGTTAATTACTACTAAGGTAAACCATTTAATGACAAACTTGGCATTTGACACTTGAAAAGATTTAGTTGTCTGCATGCTGTGATGCTAATATTACGCAATCATCGCGCAACATTAGTCAGAAAGTTAAGACGCTTTTGTAGTGTTGCATTTTAAATTAAAGCATTCTTTTTCAGCAGTAACTGTGACTTGGAATAAATTTCCAAAGGGTTGTATAATTTACAGATTCCCCAGTTGAACAGAATAATATTTTATTTATAAGAATCGAGCATGCTACTTTATTAGAATCATTGCAACTCAAGCAAACAGTGGTGTTTTTAACTTACTTAAATGCAAATAATTCCGCGTATTTACGTGTTAATGGTTCAAACAAACTTTATTGAAATTCCGTCTTCCCATAACCTCTAACATTATTCTGAACGAAATTCTTTTGTCTCCGTTTATTAATAGTGGGACGTTTCGCCATTTTTTATTTTTATCAATTATTTCCATCCAAAATATCGTCAAATTGTTTCCTCAGAAGCCAGCCATAAACATGATAAAAAATATTCTCTTATCTCTTGCGCATTAGTCATTGATATCGAAATCGTTTGAATGTATTTTGGTTTTATTGTGCATCTATCACCACAGCTGCAAATTGCGTTGATTTCCATAGAGAAACGCATTTAATTGGTCACCTGTTAATCCATGAAGGGCCTATTTTTACAGCTTTCGACATTGTACCTTTAACTGGTACTGATTTGGTTGCCTGAAGACTTACTTTAAAATTCTTTGGATATTATCACTTCAGTTTTCAATAATTTAGAGTGATTGCCTACCATTTGATGTATAAGATGCTAATTATCCGTGAGTAGTGAAAAGGAATGGAAAAGTATCCCGAGAGATAAATACCATCCGAGATATACGATTTGTTGCACTTGGGCCTGAATTTATTACCCTCCACTGTTTAGTTGGCTTGTTGTGGAATTCGATAGCCCCCATAAAGCGAACCTAGATATCTCTTGAACGTAAAGGTGGGGTTAATGTGAAATCAGTTTGCGGCTGCCTGTCAATGACACTAGTGCAGGCTTTATTTTAGCAAATGAAAAGTTTATTTGGGTTTGGACATTGAATTCCAAAGGTTTGCCGTGGCTTAAAGTCAAGAACATGTATTTATTATCATTCTTCCTACTTTATACAATGTAAAAATATACTCCATTACATTGCACTGGCAAACGAACGAAAAAAAACAACAATAAATGCTACTTAAAATTAGTAATAAAACTGGAGCCTTTGAGTATGATTAACGGGTCATCTGCTGCATCAATTCAATGATTTACCCTTCATCTAGACCTATGTCTAAGTCTCCATGATTTATCAAATGACATTCGCACGTTCATTATTGGACAAAGAAATTTGCCGTTTGAGAGAGAAGCAAGCTCGTTGAATTCGGAAAATGTGTCCTTTAGTAACTCTTTGAATGGTAAAAAAAGAATGAATGCATATGGCGCTAGAGAATATGATGGCCTTATAGCTGAATCCGCTCGACGAATACAAGTTGTCAAGTTTGACGTGGCCTTTGCGATCGTTTTGTTTTCAAAGTGATCGCGAGGTTAATCAGTCAACTCTAATTGGGTAGGAAGACGAAGTGTAAATATGGAAGGCAATCATTACAGCCTGCCAATCTGTTCCAAATGTTAGGGGAAATGTCAAGACTGTGGGCAGTTAGAACAGACATTCAATCGGGTGGTAATTGCTCAGTACTTCCACAACCAACTACCGTTTAATTGCTTACCGCAGACCTATTTATTAAAAGAAAATAAACTGAGTTATGCAATAGATTTTACCTTCGATCATTCAGGGAAACTGGAGAGTGCTTCTGATAATTAACAAAAGGTGGCGATTTAAGTGCTTACTTATCCCCAGCATTTAAGTGATGCTTTTATTAGTTTGCAATTTCTACCAATTTTTGCCATTGAGTTCATTGATTGAATGTTTTTTTTGTATAGGAATTACGGTACATGCTGAATATGCAAGTGCCAACATATTAAGCCCACTGTAATACAAATTAATTGTATCCTAGCCAAACACTAATTCGTAGGTGGAATACTTCCCACTGGCTTAGTGTTTGCTGGAACGTGTATGGTCTATATCCCAGGGCATGTTGCCACCAAAAACGACAGTTTACGAATGAGACAAAGGCAAAATTGTGAATAAAAGGCTGAGTTTTAGCCAAGATTGGACGAAAGTCTTCTCAGATGTGACCGGCAAGAAAAAAGACTGAAAAGACGAAGGAGCAGTCATTCATTGAGTTGTAAAATTAGACGTCTTTTTAGCATGAAAGGACACCAGTTTATATAGAATTGCATATCATTGATCTCTGACAAAAATAATTACTTAAGTTGACAGAATTCGTGTTCGCTCGCTGATCGCCAAAAGCTAATTTGGCCTTGCTTAGGCATGTTCAACAAGACAGCAATTTGGCCATTCCAAGATCAGACAATTTAATTTGGGTTAAAGTGATTTTAGGCATAAAATACTTTGAACGCTAGTTGTCAATTCCAGTAGGATTTTTTTTCGAAACGCTATGTGTGAGCACACTACTTAAATGGACGAGGAGCTACCGAAATCCCTACCCATTACCTAAAGCTGACCCACTTTGTGACTTCGTCAAGAAGAGGCCCTGCCAGACAGCGAGTCAATTCTTACAACCCAATCCACTTTCCAGAAGCGTCAAATCAATGAATTCATTACAAGTTAGAAGTTGAGGTTGATGGTAATTCGCTTCGCTTAATTATCTACAGATATTCTGCAAATTAAATTCTACTCATTTGTTCTTTTCCGGCATTCACGAAAATTATGGTAGTTGATACCTGAAAATATGTTTTAAAGGCCACTATCATGCCGGATTCTTGAACAACATCAAAAGGGATACGCAATGCCTTCTACTTGCTTTGCCTAGAAGAAGCAAGTATTGGCGCCCTACAATAAAGCATTTCAAAACGGCCAAAAACCCCTGCAAATACTGACGTAATCTAGAAGTCCATGGGGTCTGGTGCTATGTCCACTTTAAGTATGTGTTTCCCCATTAATTCAAGCACTCCCCACTTTCGAGATCATTCATGAAGCTAGAAATCGGGGCGATTATTGCCCCAGGCCGGTGCTGCCAAATTATTGGACAGAGAACGGTATTTTAAGTAGTGTAGGCGCCGCAACAGACATGTGGTTCCAATTAGGCTGGCAAATTGAACAACCAGGTCACACAGAAATACTCGATAACCTCGATTCCACGCGCGAATTCAAAATTGCAAAGTCAAAAGCGTTTAGGTAGTCACAAAAACGCCGAGTTTACCACTGCTACTTCCATGCATATTGTCGAAGCTTTGCATTGGTAATATTTTGCCCATGACCTAACTGATTCATTATAAAAGTGGTACTGCTAATCAACTTTGGGTACGTGAGAACGGCGACAATCATCCGCCTAATTTGAAATCAAACCGTTTCGTCAACTTCTACACTTGAATGCATGACTGGTTAACTGAAGAAATCTCTTAATAGATGTGGCACTTCTCCTGTATGCTGAATGCTCATTTCTTGGACTACGGTTTGGGAAAATATCGTTATTTAGCAGTAATTTGGGGAGTCTATGGAATTGTGAAACCGTTCCTCCTTTGTTGACTGGTGGTCCGAAAAGTCAAGTTAGGCATAAATGTTCAAGGTCATATTTCCATCGCAGATTCAAATCGAGTAAGTCCCCATTAAACATGATTGAGTAAGGGGAGAAAATCTAGATTAGATACGCATTTAAAATGTCATTCTTTGCCTTTCACTGAGATTTACTAGACGTTGAATCAGTGTTTAGGGAACAAACAAACTCGGTCTACAAGAAACCTTACTTTTTTCGGTAATTAGGCAAAGATTATGGAGCAAGGTGTCACGTGGAAAAACTAACATCGCAAACAATCATGATTTGCATGAAAAAGTTTATTTTAGTAAAGTGACGTCGGACACGATTACACGCTTGCACCTCCTCAGGATAAAAACGAAGCAGTTGTTCACAGTGAACACATGAAAAGAAACAGAACGTGTGATTGATGGATCCGCTCATTGCTGCTTTTTGCTGTAAAAACGCCCCATCTACCGACTGACAAAGCAGTGCCAATCGTCGATGGAACAGAGATGTTGGCATGCTTTTTTTAATGATGCCTCTTACCAAAGCGATTCCAGGTTAAATTCGGATGAATCCCACATTCATTGCTTTAGACTTCAAACATTTCCGCATATTCATTATAACTCGCTGCATAATTGAAGCACAATGCTGCAGGATACACTACAACGATTCTAGAATTTGGATTTTTCAACCGAGAAAGTTTACTTTGCATACTTTTAATGCGCCTAGAGAGGAGGGACCTAAATAGGTAGATGACTGTTAGCCCGTTCCTCTTAGATAGCCACACCATCATGGCTAGCTACCAGGCATACGATAGAAGAATAGCTGAAAGAACCGGATGTATTCCATACTACCGCATGCAAACTCAGAGGGCTAGAGCTTAGGGAGAGTTAGAGTGGGGAAAGGGATGGTCGCGAGGAGGGTTGGTGTTGCCCTCGGACTCACGGGCGCCTTGAGGAAGGCGAAGGTGCGGGAGGGGAGAGGGGGCAAAGAACAGGCCAGACCGGCGTGCGTGGGTCGAATGGCGCGCATTACACAATCACGATTTGAAAGTGTGGTTATGACACCAAAACCTTCATTTGGTTAAATTTGCTTCACTTAAACAGGGTATCAAGTTAGTCGCACAAATTACGACCATGCACCAATTAAATCTGGGTTTACAAAAACGAAAGTGCTCTGCACCGGTTGTGCTTATTCGAAAGCCCGTTCTGACCGCCTTTCAACGACAATTAATTTTTAATTTATTAACCAATATTTACTGGGATGCATTTGTATGGGTTGACTAAAGGCATGAAAGGAAACTGACGTCCGTGCTCGAGTCGTGCCTTGGGAAGCTCCGTTTGATACTAAGGAAACAATAGCACCATTAGTGGAAAACCATTACGACGGCCACCACGCTATTTGCGTTTACTTGGTGTTATTTTGCAGTCTTGTTACACACGACAGAAAACAAGCCCCGAGTAACTAAAAATAGAGCACAAAAAGGAAGTTTTATTTGTGAAGTCTCAACACGGGCTGTCAGGAGGAATGGAGGCTTCAGTAGTCGTCTCCCCGAGTTACGACCTCTTTACAAGTGGGTCGCAAAAGCACAGTGTGTTCCCATTGGGCGGTGTAGCTATTGCGCATATCAACGAGGGGCGGATAGGCTTTGACCAGCCCGTTGTCAACCAGGTTTTTGAGACCCATCAGGTACTTGGTTTCACCCAGGCGGTCCAACCACCGGCGGCAGAAGGCCAATGTGCCGAAGTGCTTGTCTATCGTTGACAAGAGTTGCCTTGCACGAGTTTGCCTGCAACAAAAAAAGACACCTACTAAAAAATAAAAGTAGAGACACCGCACTTCCCAAAACCAAAACATCGTGACTTGGGTCTCTTTGATATGGCCTGTCGCCAATCTATGTGGTGGTATTGTGGGGTCTGTCATTTGTCAGATTCTGCACTACATATGGCAAAGGGTTTATCGTGGTAAAATGGTGGGCCACCACTCCGAATTAAACCAAGGAAGAAAAGTCACCGAGTCCCCAAGAAGGAAAGGCGATGGGCAAGACTGCGTTCCCCAAAACAATACATTCCTTCCAACTAACTAGCTTTTCTAGGCTCTATCCGCGAGGTCTTTGTAGAAGCGCCTCACTAATAAGGGGCTGCATTCAACCGCTGAACGTAATATTTGCATTGGTGCGACTCGCTTTAATTATTAAGCTACTTTCAAGTGATTATAGGGTTACACACACAACAGTTTTGAAAAGAATACTAGAACCCAGTATTAAGGAACGATGGTTTAAACGATGACTCCCGAGGGTGGATGTTAACATAGACGCGAAGCCATGGAGACCGCCCGTCCGGAAGTAGTTAGTGAGGGGAGTTAGTATGGAGCCAGGAGTATGGTACATTTCTTAACACTACCACTCTACATTTGTCCATGAAATCGTACATATCATCAACAAACTGATCACTTCACTTCAATGGCTTCCGTGATTCCGCGTGCACCGGACGCGCACACAAGCCTGCACCTGCGGCTGTTTACTCGACACACACGACAAAAGGCAATAAAAATGAAAGCCAAGGGGAGATCGCAACTGCCCCTCCATGCCGACTAGACCTAGGGGCGACGGACTAAAAATGCCTACTTTGGATTATTTGATTTCTGCACAGAAAGGCACTCAGTGCTCGCATTTAAATACACACGAGAAAACGCAACTGCCAGACTTGCCTGAGAGGGACATGACCGACCTCAAAATCCTTCATGTAATGCGAGCATTCCATGTCGTCGTGCACCACGCCCCTTCCGGTACTGCCAAAAGTCTCGATGGCATAAACCTCATTTTCCTAGTTAATTCGGAGTGACATGTTAGTAGATAGGACAATTTTCGATAGAGAAAATTACAACATTAACATCACTCGTGCAAATCAGTCCCAGTGCCTAATTTGTCATGAAAAATAAGGACGCCATTAACCAAGTTTGGCCACCGAATAGAGTGGTGATTGCAGAGTTGCATGGAATTTCATCAAGTCTTTTTCAATCAAGGCTGGGGAGGATTTAGCAAAAGTGGCTACAGCAGCCAATCACAAGAGGGACCAACTTTGTCCAACTCCGAAGGGTCCACGGCGAGAGTAATTGGCAACTTGATGCATGGAGTACCATTTACCAAAACATCGGGGGAATGAGCACAACCCCAGGCTGCTCAATTACTCGCAACCATTACAGTTCTTCTCATGGGTGATAATTGACCAAGAAGGAGAGGATTTAGTAGACTCAGGCCGCTTTTAAGCCCGTGGATTTTTTCAGAAAAAAAAAATATTACAAAATGGCAACTTCTGTCAGGTCATGCTACAGTAAAATCCTATATAACAGATTATTCAATATCATATTTTGCTTTAGGGACTAAAAGGCGGTGTGAAGGCGGCATTGTCAGCAAGAGGTCATACGCCAGTCGACAAGTTGATACGCGTGAAAACAATGTTTTCGCCAGCTTCCGTTTGTTCGGTGCAGGCGCATGAAGATCGGATTCAGATTGATGTTTTTGCAGCATGAACTCACATGCCCTCGCTACTCATGCCTACCCACGACATTTGGTGGCACTCAGAACGGTTCGAGCCGTCTTTCCATCCTCACGAAGGTTATCAATGAGAGCCTGGTGTGGTTGCAGTGGTGAGTACTAAAGAGGTACGCGCGCCCATTGGAGACAGCCCAAGCAGCCTGTCAAATCATTGGCTCCAAGTGATTACGGTTACTGTCTAGTTCTCAACCTATTGATGTCCGAGGAGCGTAAATTTGCAGCTAAAACAGCTGTTACAAGTAGTAAGTGGAAATTATTCAGCTGAGGCACGACATGACTAATACGTTCTACTGACTCGGATTATTTCTTGGACAAAGAAACATACACAAGGCGGGAAATAAGGCTATAACTTTTTAGGAAATATGCGTATCAATCAACAAATAAACATGACTAAACTAAAGGTTACTTAAAGTGAAAAAATATGCTCTACCTCCATACGAGTTTGTTCCCCACCCCGGACGATAGGCACGGACTTTCCAGCGTGGATTTGGTACGGCCCAACGGAGTGTCCGTTGAGGTTCCGAATAGGCTTTACTGAAAATGAACATAGAAAGGCGGTAATGGCCAGATCTTCTACCGCAAAACGCAAAGTAGCCAACTAACTCGTTGCTGCGAGTGAAAATTAAATTTCGACACGGCTTCCCCTGCCCCAACTGGTCCTTTTTGAACTCCAACAGATAGGAGTTTATTGAACACAGTGAAACAGAGTAAACCAAAGGGGCGCGAGCGCTTCCCATACGATATCTTACACATGCTTTTTTCGGTAGGCCCTTTCGTGTCGTAAGATCCGATGAAGTAATTTAATTTTATGAGGAACACTGTGAGACTGAACAGGTGATTGCCAACATCTACACGTGCCTAGGACGTACAGACAAACACCTTTCCGTGTTGTGCCATCACAAATAGGCAACAGCAAATGCGTTTGTAGCTGAGCCACAAGTAACAACTTCACAATTCTGGCTTACTCTTCGCACGGTGATTTAAGGGTTATCTTTTCCACGCAACCACTGTCCCGTACAAAATACAATACTTTTTAAGCGAAACTACGGACTGAAAGACGCAATTTTGAACCACTAATGATGTTATTTTGTCTAATCGGGTTCAAGAAAAGGACGGCTGAAATTGTCGCTAAACGACACGTGAATGTGTTGGAGGGGGGAGGGTGTGTTTGCAAACAAAAGTGACAAAACTAAATCAGTTATGCATAAAATTCACCAAAGCTTACCTTGATATGTTTCACCGTTTATTTCAACTTCATAAGACTCCATAACCTCTTGAATAGCCTCCCCCACGTCGCATAAACGCACATCAATGCCAGATTCCTAAGTCATAATGAAGAATAAATCATACGTAATCCTTTACTTGTGTTGTACACCGTTCTAGAATGTAATTGACAATCAAGCCCACAAAACACTTGACCCAGTAAAAGTAAAATATCGCATTAAAACTCAGCGATTATTAATCATTTTGTGATGTGAATAGATGCACATCCAAAGTATTCAAGCTAGCATTGAAATGATATTCAGAAAGTACGTAAAGCACATACTAAGACAGTAAAAAGGAAACAACAATTTCGACTTCATACTGTGCTCATTAGAAGAAACAAGATGAGGTTAGAAATGTGTCACGTTTGAAACCACGTGCTGTTTACTCGGCATAGCATGAGGCCAAGGAATGAAATGGTAGCGTCCAGCTTTAAGGCAGCATCGGTTCAGTAAAGTACAAACAGCCCTTGTGGCTTTATCTGACCAGCCGCACTGAAGTGACCAAGTTTACGCTCGCCACTTGCAGTGATAAAGAGCGTGGTCGGGGATGGGTTCTCAGAAATGCAAGCTAACTCACGACATGTTTGTTTTAAGCTGAAGACAAAACAGTCGTTTACCTTGATACCCGTGTTGGTAGCGTCCCTGACAGCTTCAACGAGCTTGTCGTACCTTGGGTTGAAGTGGACAGTGAACGCACAGTCGACGAGATTGCCTACAAGTCAAAATACAATTTAGCACAGCACCCCTTTTACACACTATAAAGGATGCCACATGGAACTTTGGAATTTTCAAGCTGAAACTCCAGCCGAAGTGTTCTGCACACTGAGAGGGCGAATAAGCCGCGTACAAATTCATAAACGACATAAGACAAGTGCTTAATCATACTCACCATTCACGTGAACACCAAAATCCACCTTGCACACATCGTCATATTGGAGGACAGTATCATCACCGGCGTTGGGTGTGTAGTGTGCGGCGCAGTGATTGAGAGAAACGCCCGTTGGAAAGGCGAGACCAGCCTGGAGGCCATTTTCATTAATCAGCTTTCGACTGAGAGCCTCAAGCTGCTCGCAAAAGTCAAAAAGACGCACGCCGGGTTTCAGCAGGGGTCGCATGTATTGTCTCACCGTCCTATGAACCTCGGCTGCTTGCCGGATATCCTGGTAGACCTCAAGACGGGCTTCATCCTGCAACCGACACTCCTGAGAGGTCATTCGATTAATAGCTGTCCGGCTAAAAATTATCAATTGCAAACAACAGACACCCAGATTTCGCCAAGGCGTCATAGTTGAGCGTACCATGCTACTCTTTTAAGGCGACAATTAAACAGATTTAACAGTACCACTATGAATGCGTCGATTTGTAAAACGATTTGGGGCCACTTGTAATTACAAAGACCATGTGGAGAACACGCCTGTTCAAGAGCTCGCCAATCTTATAAACTGTTGAGAGAGAACTGTATTATTGGAAGGGGGTGACAGAAAGCAGATATATAACTTAAAACGTCGACATTTTAAGATCGGTTTTCTATCCGGAGGTGATCTAACTTGCCATCCGTATGTATTGGTACGTCAAGATAATGCCCCTACTTATATACCGTACTAAGCACAAGAACTGGATAATGAGACTCTCGTCTTTCATTGATTCTTGGACGCTACAGGTGGTAAATAAAAAGACTATGGATCGAACCAAGAAATGTGGAGTGTTATCCTACTTGAACCGTCTCTAGTTGGAGATTCACCGCTCAAAAGGTGGATAAGTGAATTACCATGTTGCTGATCAAAGAAGGTAACCTGTACCAACTTGAATGCACGCATGTGTAGCAACACAGTATTTCATATACCTGTTGCTTGATATACGAAAATCAAGAGAACGTAAATCGTAAATATAAGGCGGAACAGATATTTGAATAAATCAAAGTACAAAGACTACTTATTTTCGCTTATGGCAGAATGAAGTTGATGAAATCCGCTTACGTGGGCATTTACGCTTTACATTATATTCAAGGTTATGTAATTCAATGCAAGCGGTATCACACTACACCACCTCAAACTATTAGCAAGCGCCTGGAAGTGGTCATTACGCATTTGAACAATAATTTCTATTCAAAACTAGTTGAGCTTGTAATATTCAGCAGATGTTCTGAATCTCAAATTACTGAAAAAGGCATTCATGAGAATAATAAGAGCCATATTTTATCCACTCGACATGAGTGGCTAACAATCACGTACACATCCACAGTTGGTAATTATCATGTAGTTTAACGAACACAAATCCATTTCTCCAACAACTTAGTACATATTTATAAATATCAGAAGGCCAATGAGAAATAATTTTGCTCTTCCTGGTTATATTCACATGAAGGAAGCTTACCACTTTCCATGAAGCTAGTCAAGTGTGAAAATGAAGTGAAGGTTGTTACATAGGGCAGTTCAACGCCTGCTTGCTGCAAATTACAAATGATAATATACAAACGTGGACAAACAGCCACTTTGATTCCATTGCAGCATTTGTAAAACCAGTAAATATGTTAACAATACACGATCAGCCAGATGTTTGAATTAACAAGGTACAGGTTATATCTGTCCACGAAATTACACCTACATTCGAATCACCTACCGTTATCGGACATATAAAAAATTACACCTTCACAAAAATATCTAAACCTTATTTTCCTGAGAAAATATGCAGCTTTCGGAGATTAACAACTTGGTAAAATCAAGAATACAAGCCTATTGAACGGGTGGTCTGACTTACCCATCCGTAGAATTTGTGTACTCCATTATTTCACCAATTGGAAAATCTTTACCAGGATAAAGCTGAGAGACGGGGATTGTAGGTGGGTCAGTTTGCTTCAGGCCTATTATATTAAATAAGAGTTGGGAAATGCCGAAAATCAAACCATTTTTCGATTTTTTCTTCTTTTCAGAAGCAGCAGGTGGTTTATGACACGTCTGCACATCAGATGCAACAGCCACTTCTTTATTTTCTAAAAACTATTAATAACTATGACGAACTACTAAGAGGATCCTCTTCTGTTGCAACATCTACGAGACATTAATGAATTTGGAAAAAAATAAGTACCACACTGTTTCGATCTCTTTTTCCGTTTCTTTTTATTTTTTGCCGGTATATTTTCACTTTGTGATTCATTTGAAATAGACAACTTTAATTCCATCTCATTTTCCACCTGATCCAGAGACCTCACGCAAGTCTCGTTATTCATAATTACCTGAAATTCTCGATTTGCGTGGACAGATTATAGATAACTCAAACAAAGTTCTTTGTTTTAGGCACAGCAACGGCCGAAGGGCAGTAAGTTCCTTTAAAATATCTTACTTGCTTTGCAAGGTGCACGCAAGTAGACAATATTAAATGTATAATAATTGAACAAATAAAAGGCCTATTATTCTACATTATAAAATTAAAATCGTATCATTTTGTCATAGGCTTAATGATATCCGCGATTTTAACTAGCAATGTAATAAGCGTTGCTTTTCTGTACTAGAAGCTTGGAGCTCCCAGGGCATCAAAAGATAAATAACGAAAAATTCAGGAGCGAAGTTTCGCGTCATAACATCGATGACTTAAAGCTTTAGATTGTTTGCTTTTGAAAAAAATTCTACCTTTGATCGGACCATTAAGAACCATTCATTTCGTACACGAATGCATTTAGTTGAATTTATTTTGCTCCTTTTGAGCACTTGAGTAAAACTGAGGTTAATATTTTAACTGATTGAGTAGATCTTGTGTTGTGTTTAATTTTGGCCAATTAAAGTTCAAAAGATTCATCTGGAATAAAGGAGCATTGTGCTGTTACGCCTAGTAACTCAAAGAATCCAGAAAGGAATTAGAAAATATTACAGGATCCAAACCCGTCAATTACACACCTTGTTCTTCGAATTGCTTGTTTCCGAAAGAGTTTGTGCTTAACCTAGGGACAATTTTTTTGCACCAACTAAATGAAATCTGCTGCTGTTGTCTTCAATAAATCACTTTATGAGAAGATTGTCTTTTTAGAAAATCTGCTTTCAAGAACAGTCAAATCTGTTTTCTTTTAGACAGTCAAGTTTGTTATTTGAATCCGCATACTTAAAGCGTTTCAATTTTCACAAATTTTAATGAGGCTTCTATCTTACACCGAACACAGAACTATTACAATCGAAATCGTTTAATGTAAGAAAAGATTGACTTTCCACGGCAGATATGCACCTTTTGAATGCCTGGTAGAGGGCTGATTATCATATAAAAGTTCTGTAACGTCGTAGGCCCTGATATGTGGTCCTGTTTATCTGGTTTTAGGTGAACGTAACCCCGATATTGACTGGTAGATTTCGTTAAATGAATACCTTTAGTTAATCAGTCACATATCTTAGCATCACCAAGCGACGCCATGATAAGTCTGTTATGAATCGTGTTGGTCCACACTCGCTTATCCGATCACTCCAGCCTCCTACACATGGTTTCCCTTTATGGCAGCATATCGCCAGCCGTGTGCACGAATAATTATCCTGAATTATCTTCACACCTAAGTCTCGATGTTAGCACACCTATGATTCACGCATCTGAGGTATAAATGCACATGCATAAACGATACACACGACGGCGGCTGGGTTAAGTCCTCGAATAAACTTTCAACTCTCTGTTTCGCCGCAGACATCATCCTTGATGGGTTGTTAGCGGAATATGGCGCCTTCACAAGTCTCTTCTAGCAATCAAGCCATTTTGATGTAAAAGGTTGAAACTAATCCATTAAATAGTGTCCGTGTGCACAAATGTTACAGGATAGCTTTTCCGCATCGCGCTTGCTTGAGGTGATCAAAGAAGTCTGGAGCTTCAAAGGGTCTGTCCAAGCATTTGAAGCTCCAATATTTTAGATCAAGATTTTTCCAAGACACTAAAACGAATTCCTCCCTGTAAGTCAGACTTACCTAAAACCCTACGAAACCCTGCTTTACTTGTGCTATTAATCGAGACAAAATTGGGCATCAAAATGGTTGTTGTGTATTTAATGTTATCCTGTCTAGGCCATATTTGGGTGCCCTTTAAACATTACACTTTGAATAATGGGGTTTTCAAGTGTACACAATGAAATGTTAGGGCGTCATTTGTAAGCACTCACAAGTAACAACATTAAAATCTTTCATGTAAAGTCACCTTAAAAAGAGTCGTTTGTCGGTAAATTTAATAGCGAACACCTAGTTAGCCTGTTGAGGGCTTCAGCATGTGATTTTTGATCTCGCCAAGGCCACAGCGTTATACTTAACACGGCTACTCAAGAAGAATAAAAAGCCGGAAATGGCGAAGGCTTAACGGTTTGCCAGATGTCTAAACCTAGTTACCGTGCACACACTCTTTGGTTAAAATGTCACCTCTGCCAAAAGGGGGGTGTGTTGCTCAGTGTGGCCTGGGTGGACCTGTAAAAGGTGCAAATGTGGCAGTGACTGAAATGGATAGCAGGGAATGATGCACGCACAGGGATGAATAGTCAGATGGTTTCGTATAATCGATGGGGACGACATGAGCATACGACGACCGGGTTCATTGGCAAGAATCAACACAATTATCTACGAGCCTAACCAAATATTGAAGTGAGTTTTAGGTACGAAACAATGTATTATCATCTTGACGGTTAACATTTTGTATATGTTTGGGAAATACGATTTTAAGCCATGCGAAAACCCACTAAATTAACTCCTACACTATCCTTTGTGGCATTTAATTCACATACCAAATTAATTCGGGCACCATTAACATACTAAAGTCCATCTCTTTCATAAATTATGTTTCGAATATTTCCGTCCTGAACCAAAATAAATCGAAATTCGACAATATTTGAATACACTAGCTCAGAGACTCGTTATGAGGTCTTACGGTCTGCAGTGGTTTGCTTGCATTACCTTGCTACCCTGATCGGTTACATCCCGCGACAACTCAAGAACAGGCAAGCGAGTTAACAGTGGATACGATTATTCATAGCGTCGTCCCTGCCAAAGGTGCCTTTACGAGCAGATAAGTGAGCATGCGTAATACGCGACTAATGACAGTAAACGAAGAAAATGGGTTTGGACCGTTGATTTTAATAAATGTGTAAACGAGCTTCACTTACGCGCAATCACTGACAGTCCATTACGAATATAACTCTCTACTCTAGAGTCTTGGCTAAAAGCACTATAAATGCTGGAAACTTATCAAACTACATCAGTAAAGTAGACCCTGGGTTGCTGAGGTTGGTCAAAACGGGAGGTATGACAGGTTGAGAATACGGATACGTTACTGCTTTGGAATGAGGGTGAACACTGCACTCGTCAGTGCACGCAACTTCAGGGCGTCTGACGGTTGAGTTACTAGATGAGAATCAATATGACTTACTACGGGGCTAACTGAATGCTAAAGCTGTTCTTGCTGGGACCGAATCTACAGTTCATATCCGCGCTCTTTAACTAAAAACTCATGTCTGACAATTGGGGTTGTTGATCGATGCGGTCTGGGTGACGCCCATATAAAGTACGAATGCTGTGGGTAGGCGAGTAGCAGGGGGAAGGTGCACCCACAGGGGTTTACAAACAGTCAGTTTCTTGTAACCGACACGGCCCCCTTGAGAAGAGAGTACGGAGAAATTAAGCTTCCGACTGCCGGGTTAGTGGACGAGAATGGACACGATTCACATGGAGCCTAACTAAACTCAGAAACCAGGTTTGCTGGGAAATTGGATAATTGACTATAATTAGATGCTTTAATTGAGGGATGGCCGACGGTTACTGCACATTGGTTCATAACATTTAAGACATTTTCCCTGCATAAAGAAAACTGCTTTTCCCGCATCTCTGGTTCTTCTACTGCAAATGTAACCAATTTCAAGTACTGTTGCCAATATAATCTGGGGCTAACATCTGCAGGTAACTGTTTATCTGATTTGTAGGCAATTGTATTCGAACATGCAACTAGGTCCCTCCCGGAATCCAAAAGCCGAGAAGATACACAGGTTTTATCGCCATTTGAAGTCGTTTTCGACCCCCTAGAGCACTTATGTTCAGCGATTAGGCCTGTATACCATCACCTGGCGCATGAATGAACGTTTTACCGAGGCTTCTACTGTCGATGTCGGGGATCGAGATGTGTTGAATAGCAAGTCCCGTCTAAAGCTGCTCCTCTGGTTGGCGTTTCTAAGCCTAGTCTTTGTGGAGTTGGTTCCGATATTTTGGCCATGTGTCGTGTCGCACAATCACACTGAGGATGAATCGTCTATGTCGACTTACGCTCATTTCTTCTGTTTATGTGTTACGCATTGATCGGTTTGTCTCGAGCGTGCACGCATATTTTGGCCTCCAATGGAACACTCAATTCAACCCATGGAGGCTTCAGGTCATCGGATTTCGTTTCCAAAATGTTGAAAATTAGTTGTCCGCAACTGGAAGACCTTGGGTATCTCAGAGGTTAATTTTTGGCTTGGCAGGGTTCCACTTAGTTGATCTGCAGCGCTTCAGCAAGGAAATTCTGTAGGATTTCGACGTACATAACGAAGGCCCGCTAAAGCTATCAGCAAACGATGCATTTTATTTATATGACTAAGTTCGGTAGAATGGAGGTTATTGTGGTGAGTTGTTGCCTAAAGAATTCTTTGAATTACTGTGACATGGATTAGGAGCCTCTATTTAAGACGATTTTATCTAAAATGCCATACTGGCCAACTCTTTGGGACAAAATTTGCATTTTGAGTAAGCGTCAGTCAAAACAGGGTACAAGCTTGTGTTGGTGGGACCTAAAACGTCTGTGCGCACACCCGACCAGAGCCTCTGTGGCAAGGGCCAGGGAGTGGGATGATTGTTTTCGGCGGAGTCTTGGCAACTTGCTGGAGCTTGATGGTCCATTAGCAGCGAGTAGGCATAGGTGTGGGAGGTGCATCTAATACAGCCACTGCCAGGGTGTCCATAAGTGAATTGACCTAGAATTATTGTGGACCTCGGCATGTGATCTCAAACTACACCGGGGCCACTGAGTTGAAGTTAACCTGATTACGCTAACCTGATACCTTAGAGAAGGCCGGAGAGGGTGTGGACACAAACGTTTTCTTCAGAGCTCAACTAGATTTTAGTTCTTGTGCCATTTGCGCGTGAATATAGCTCAGATGTGTGAAATAGCGTGAATCATAGATGTGTTAACATCGAGACATAGGTGAATGTTTTTACACGTAGCAGTAATCCAGGTTGATCGCGTGAGTTGAGGTTCAGATCGGTTGGCGGAATACTGCGAAAAGGGAGAAATATTTCAAAAAAAATTGGGCGACCAGATTAACGAGCGTGAATCAACGCGATTCACAACCGAATCCGTGTTCCAAGAGATCTCGACACCACGGCCCATTCCTTGAACAACATGTAGTGTGTAATGCAAAGGGGATTGGGTCAATAGTACAGCTATTTGAGGTCCCAAAACAGGGGACTTATTGAGCAGTTAGCTTTTACGTCGAGGGTGGCATGTATGAACGTGTAATCTACGGTTGCCCCCTGTTGGGTTTCAAGTACTGAGGCTGTTAAATCGCGGACAATCTACAACAGTTGCTCTGTCGCATTTCTGTCGATAGATTCGTTGGCGATGACTGCTTCTCCTCTTGCTACTGTGGTCCTGCTACTGGGCTTGTGCAAGAAGACTGCTGCAAATGTAGTCATCTGTGATTTCGGCTACATCCCGTCGATTGAAAGCATACTGCGTAGATGGTTTAGCTTGATGTAGTCTACGTGGCACGACCATTTTAGGGCCATTGAATGAACCACAGTCTTGGTTTACACTACTGAACTGGAGTTCCTTACTGTCAGTTCTATTTGCCTTTGTGAGTTAGATCAAACCTTTACTTTTTCGAGAAGTATTACTGACCGCAGACGTACTGAACAGTCACTTAATAGAATGGTGACGCACCCCAATCATCATTTTGCAGAGCCTTGGAAGGTAATTTATAGAATGAGTGAGGTAATAGGAGGGCCAACAGGCTTGAGCTTTAGCGGGGTTGTTGCTTGATCTTGTTAAGTGGGTGGTTTCTGGACCACATTCACCCCCTGGTGATCCACTATGAAGTCGTGTTTTACGTCGCCCCAGTGTTCGTATACCGCCCCGACTGCACGGAACTTGACCCCGTTTTCGGGATCACGAGCTACCCCACATGAGACTTGGCAAAATCGAAGTGATGTGTCCGAATTAATAGCTTATTTGTGCCTTAAGTGACCTCAGCCCAACGGATTAAGGGGGATTGACAGAGGTAGGAGCTATCACTGAGTTTGGGGTGCTAATAAATGGTGTGACCAAATGACGTGGCGCGACTAAGGGAGTTGCATAAAGTTAAAAAAATCTTAAGTGAATAAAAGAATTGACGAATGCTGAGTTCCCCCGCTCTTTTGCAGGACATTTTCGCCGAAACATCCTCAAAACCACGTGAATTCCCCTATTCAGGGTTCCCTTCATCATGACTGCAGATTTAGTCTAATTCGTTCCAAGGTGTCTACTTCTGGAAGAGAACCACCCCCGAACGACAGCCTACCTTCTACAGGCATGGTGAATCGTGCACACGGCAAGCTAGTGGTGTTATTTACAACACAAGACCGCCAGCTAATTGAACATGAAAACTAACTCGTGCCGTACATGGGATTCATCCGACATAAATCGGCTGTTCCTCGGGAGGAAATCCCTTGGCAGGAAAGCTAAAAATTTGATGCACCTACCCAAGCACTTTCGGAGTCACGCTTTTACTGAACTGAGCCAAAAATCAGTTTATTTTCTTTTCACTTGCACTTTATTTACTGATTTCGCTTGTGCCCTGTGTAGCGTTGCATACCCTCGGAATGCCACGTTTTCATTCCACATGGAAGCATGTTTACACCACTTGCTTTCTGCATTCAGTCGTTACGCTAAACCCACGAACACAGCTCAGAAAACTCGTGAGTTGCTAATTAGTGAGTGACAGACATGGCCAGTGATTATGAAAGCGGCAATACCCGCATAGGTGGCCGAACTCGACGAAGTCAACCTTGGAAAACTATATCGACGGTGGCGAATCAGTTGATGTGATTCAAAAGACGTGTGCTTAGGTATCTGCCAAGGTTCGTGAATACAACAACATTTGCGTTCCATAACTACGGACAATTTGCATGAACGTCACTGGGGCACTCATCAATGACCACGACAAGCGTTGCGGTTACGAGGGGAAGTGAAAGCACCGCCTCGAGCTGACCAGTGCTCCCACTCAAGCAAGACGATGACTTCTTAGTGAAACTGTGAATACCTCATTGACCTTGAGATAGGCGGAAGCAAGCCATTGTGCAGCACCGCCACGTCGCCAACTGGCACTTTTTGAAGGAGCCTATTTAGCATAAGTGCCACGACCTCTGAGAGGATCCCTGACATACTTAAGGGCTAAGGCTCGGCTGAGGTTCCAACGCATCTTTCAAGCAGACCAAACTCACCATCCGGTGCGTGGATAATTATTCGGTGGCAAGGGGGGCCCGGTGTCATCCTACATCCATTAATTCCTGATGGGGATACCAAGGTACCTTGATGATCCAGCCCTTCTAATAACGTGTGTAGCGAAGCTGGCCATTACTAATGCTGGCGCGTCGGAGCACGCGCCCATAGTCAAGTATCTCCCGCGCAAATATCATGCATGTTAGGGATCATTTAAATCTAAAAAGCGGATCACCGAACTATCCACGCATGATTTCATGTTGTCACAGGGTCCAAAGTATTTGCACTGATTAAAACTATTAACACAACTCCATCATGTTTCACCCCTGACCTAATAAATAACGACATTACAATTGCCCCAGGCATTCTCAATTTGCGTTACTTGTGCTCATTTTTGCCGCAAAACTACGTAAACTTCACAAGATTGTCAACAACTTATTGAGAACCTATGCAAATGGCGACAGTTAAAAAGATGATACCTTGGTAAATAAAAATAGCATAAGGGCTAATACACAGAGACGTCAGTTTGGGAAGAGATTAAAAGTGCTTAGGTATGGAATAAAAACACCTCAGGTTCTGAGCATCTAGAGGCTTTCACGGCAATCCTAATACCGGAGAAGCGCATAATCCTCGGGATGGAGGAAACAGCATGTATCACCAAATTGACAGGGCTCTGGGTTTCGGCATCGTCGATGGGGGTGTGTATAGGCACACCGGTCACCCAAGTTACAATGGGGCCAGTCGGCGCAACGTCGGAATATTTTGTCGGAGGTGCCCCATCTAGAGGTCCGCGTGGAGGTTCTTGCACTATTTCGATGCCTCACTGCACCGCGTCTTTGCGTGGCCGCTGAAGAAGAGGCAGCAGCGGCTGCAGGCGGTGCCGCTGTGCCACTGTTGCCACCCCGCCCGCCACGATTGCGAGGACGGTGGCCTCGAGGGCTACTGACATCGGCAGCGATGAGTCCGTCCACGAGGCCTGATGGGGTTGCATCACGACCCCTTCCATCCCTGCGTTCTTCATGGTCAAGTCGATCGGGCGTCCTAAAATGCGTAAGCGCAACACACAAGGGCGTGAATCAAATGTTTTCACGAAGTTGGATAAAGCATCAACAATTAAGTCATTTCTCACAGTCATATTTCAATCGCTTCTCGATTCTTGGTGTAAATACGTGGTGGGAACCTTGAAGTTCATTCGAGTTTCCAAGGTACTCCATCAAGTATCCAAAAAGTTATTACAAGAGCAAGTTAAACGCCGTTGTTGAAATATCAACAGGAACGTTTTCGATTTAAAAAAAGCCGAAAATTCGGCAACAAGTATTTTATGTCTTACTTCGAATAAAACGCAGTACTAAACGTCTCGAAACCTTTTACATCAAATAAGGCACACTACACAAGAACAGAGGAAAAGAAATGCGATCTATGGTAGTTATTTAAACGAAATACACACGTACACTAGGAGGAAGCAATACTTACCCACGTATACGGGCGGAGTTCATGGCCGCCTCCACGTAATTAATAATATCGGAGAAATCGTGATGAAAGAAATCATGTTCGTATTCGTAGTCATCAGTTGAAAAATCGTCATCAGAGAAGTTATATACATCGCTTTCGTATTCATCATCGTGGTGCTAAAGCGTGATAGATTGTACTTTACGCAAAAAAACAGGTATACTACAAATAAGCCCAAAATAGTTCAAAGATCCCATCAAAACCAAATCGTGATGAACATAAACCACTAAAGGATTAAATATAAGAACAAATACGATAAACTTAAAGGGCTACCAAGATGTGCTTGACATGTTCTTAAATGATTATCTAAACATCCGTAAGAGCCGTAGTGGAGATAACGTAAATGGATGTGTGAAAGTTGAAAGTGCTTAAGTGAGCGTGGAAAACAAAGCAATTGTAATAAGACATGTCACTTATGACCCCCATGCGAGTTTTACTCAACACTAAAAGACATTCAACGTATTTGTAGGTAAGTAATTGCCTACACACTTAAAAGAACACTTCTAGACGCAATAGGCATCGTACATTTTGCACAGATTTGTGAATCTGAAACCCACGTAATAACAACTCACATCAAAATCACTGCTTAGGTAATTGTGGGAACCACCACTTGTCCCCGTGCGATCAGCCGGCATCGGTGGGGTAGCGGTACGCGGAACATCAAGGCAAGAGTACTTAGTTGAAATTTCCAAAAGATTATTGAGGACAAGGCAGGAACGTAATGATGCTGGGGAATAGCGTTTTCGACAAATTGGACACACTAAGTTGTTTCGAAGTTCCAAGTTTCGTAGGCAGTTATGACAGAAACTATGCTGGCACGGTAACATCCGCGGATCATCGAATCTGAATGGAGAATTGAAAAATAGGCATGTAAGTGTTCAAAGAACTGGAAACGCAATCAATCCAGGAAAAAATCCACCATGAACATATCTCCGTAAGACTAGTTTTTGACACCAAAGACGATTATTTACCGGGAGTACATTAGTCGGTGATCTGAAACAAGGACTTGATTTAAAACAGGCCCTCAGTAACACAGTGTCAAGCGAGCAGGAACCGTTCACAGTTAATCTTAAAGCCACACTTAGCATCAATAAACAAGTACAAAAAGTCTATACAAAATCAACATTCTGGGAGGGGGGAAACACGGATTCTTGCGACAGAGATGTCAAACACCGCTTTACGAATGTCGAATCTAAGGGTTCGAGTCACCCATGAAATTTTGGGATACACATTTAGACCAGTTTAGGATTGTATCAATATAACAATAACCGTCAGACAAAAGCAACAGCACACTAGTAAGTAAACAAAAGTGACGCAAATATTTCTATGAATTGAAGCTGAAAACCAACAATTGACTAAATTCGTTGAAGTCGTTACAACGCACCGTTCTTTACAAATGCTACATTCGAGGAGATTTTTGATATCTTCAATCAAGGAGGTAGGTGTTTCCCCAGTGTCACTCGACTGAACAGGGCTACAATGGCCCGGTTCCTCCATCTTAAGTATTGTAGAATACCCGTTAACCCCCAGGTCGGGATCCGCCGAGAGAACCCTCTCCACCTCTGTTATTGACTGAGGCAGAAGTGTTGCGTGCCGCTTGCCGATCTCAGCTGGTAGCCCTTTGAGAACGAAGGCTACTGTTAGGCTCTCGGGTGGGGTACCTGGGTAGCACTTCTGGACCAGATCGTATACGTCAGCCATGTAGTCGACTACCCGTTCCCCGGCCCGGTAGCATCGACTCAGGAGTTTAAGCTGACTGTCTTCAGTCTTCTCCACGAACAACTGGGACAATTTATCCAGTAGTTGTTCATAAGGTGTCTCTCCAGAGCAGCCTGCCATGGAGGCAATACGCCTGGCAGGAGCGGCCAGGCCTCTCATGAGCTCGCGCGATCTACAAGCAGGCTCTTCATACCTCAAGTAATCATCCATTGTCTCGATCCATGCTTCAATGTCGTCATCGAGATTGAACTCGGGCGGTGGAGGCCGAAAAATTCCTCGTTCCCATCCAGCGTGGCCACTGAATAGGTCCGTGTCCGTCTTCGAGACGTTACCGCTGCCACCAGTTGTACGTTTCGACCCCATCGTATGGTCAAGAAGAGAATGAGACAAAATGGATTCTTCTAATAAAGGATGAAGCACGCTAAACCCTGGTCGCAATCCGATCGGTTCGTAAGGGAAAACAGGGGGCTTATATATCCTACTTCTGTTCTTCCTGTTCTCCCATTGGTCCGTCCTGCGTCGCTACAATGGAGACAGAAAACTCGTGAGCGGATTGGCTCTCAGTCTCCAACGCATCATTCAATGAACGAGCGCCGCCACGCAGCCGGAAATAGCACTTCCGATCACGTGACGTCGCCTCCACGCCATTCTGACTAAAGTCGCCAATGTGGCTGCCATCTGCCATTCCGCCACAGTATCACTCAATAAAAATTAAAGTGGACGCAACATCATCATCATCAACACGTTGTCAGGCTAAATTTATCAACAATATTCAGCATTTAAGTATTGATTAAACTAAAGATTTTTGCGCCAATTATAAATATTCGTTTCCTTTTAGGTTTTTTTCTACTTAGTTATGGGTTACTGCTCATAAAAAATAATCGCAGTTATTTCTTTGGTGACCTTAGCCCTAACAGATTTATCGAAATGTAATATAACAGAGATTCTATGCATATTGTGGGTAAATTAAGTGACGCCTTCCTACACATTTTAATCAGGATTACGTGACGGTATAGAAGCTCTAAGCAAATGTTTTATGGATCATTAGAAATTCAAATAGGATGGCTTATGTGGTACAAGCTCCTGTATTTATTTTCGTCGTAGTTAACCGTGTTTTGTTTCATGTGAGTACCCGATGAGTCCTACACCATTTAGGAAGTTCAAAGTGACTAATTTGGCAATTTACTTGAACGAAGGTCCACCCATTGATTTCTGTACTCCGATGAGTAATATGCAAAGATTTAATGCTATAAATGTAATTTAGAAGAGAAAATTATTATGGTGCAATGTTTCAACGACAAGGCTGAGTCTTCATAAAGTTCAAGCTAAAGATGCAAATTCTGGAAATTCGGAACATCAGTTGTTGACAGAGAACACAGAATTTGTCCCAAATCACACCAATAAGAATCTTGTTTACTGTTTCATATTTTCGAGAGTCAAGAAAATGTCCAGTGTCTCTGGGCAACATGATCTAGACTTATCAGTGGCCCTTCACTTAAACTCTAAATGAATAATAATTACTAGGTGCCTAAGTGGTTTAGTATATTCAACTTTTGTACTCTGGCACATAACAAGACACTACCTGATAATTTTGGTGCCAGGAACTTC